AAGAGGCAGCTGGAGGAGAGTCAGGACGCTCTGACCGAGGAGCTCACCAAACTGCAGGGTCAGCGCACCAAACTACATTGTCTTTATTTCCTGTTCTCGCTGTTAACCCAGTTACTCACCGATAGATTGAAACAATTCATCTTCTTTGTTGGGTCTCAGAGAAAAGACATGAGGTGTTGGGGGAGGAGAAGGAGAAAGAGGACATCAGCAGACCGGATGGAGACGAGGACATCAAGGTGACCGGAAAGCACAGCTGGAAAACAGTCGAATAATTTGATTTTTATTTGAATGATAAATCTGTAATCTGTATTTCCGTCTCCACCCGTCCTCCAGAAAACGCTGGAGGAGCAGCTGGAGAACCACAGGGAGGCTCACCAGAAGCAGCTCAGCCGCCTCCGAGACGAGATCGAAGACAAGCAGAGGATGCAGGACGAACTCACAGAGTAAGGACACATCAGCGCTGGTGACGTCCAGTTGTATTTTATTTTATTATTATTGTAGAATAATGCCCGATGCTTGTGCTGCTATCCATGCTGCGTACCAATGTGGACCCCTAGACCCAGCATGGGTTTTGATCTATCTTGCATGACAATGAATGCATGAAGAAGTATTTTTATAAATGGCATCTTGGTTTTCACAAGCCCTCCATTCAGTGCACAGAGTTCAGGGTTCAGCTTGAGCTTGATTTCTACTCAAGTGCATTTTTGAGACTGTTGAGAAGGAGAAGAGAACATGTGTGTGTGTGTGTGTGTGTGTGAAGTCTACTTAAATGTGGGACTGTGGTGGGAAGCTCTGGTTTAAACTTCAAAGTAAAACAATGCTTGTTTATTTATGTATTTATTTTTGTTCCTCATTCATTTTCTGTCATCTCTCTGTTGCTGTCACAGGTCTCAAAAGGTCCAAAAAATGACTTCTCTATTTATTGCCACGTCTCTTTCTCTCTCAGTCTAAACCAGGGTCTGTTATTGGAGCAGGAGAGACTTATGTCCGACTACGACAAACTGAAGGCTGAAGAGCAGGAGAAGGATGCAAAGCTACAGAAACTCATGTAGGCATCTAACTGTTATTAATTAGTGTCGGATGTAGTACAAGTTGATCTGTAAATGTTGGTGTTAATGTCTCTGTTTTGTGTCCAGAGTGCTGAATGAACAGAGCGAGCAGGCCAGAGAGGACTTGAAGGGCTTGGAGGAGACTGTGGTAAGTGTCTGAAAGTAAAGAAGCAGTCATAGTATAGCATGTCAATTTTGAGTGTTGGACGTCAACAAGCACTGTACCTCAGGTCTGTCACTCTGTTATTTGATCAGAAAGAATAGTCTACTGTTTGGCAGAGCTTTGCACATTAAAATGCCACAGCAAGGATTGAACCTATATACCTATTGATCTGACACATTTGACACTACTGTGTGGTAGAAACATTAGCCCAATGTCTGAAAATGTTGGTTGATTCTTCTGTGGTGCGGTGAGTTTAGAGTTCCAACATCCAAAGAGGGACCTGTGACTGCTGTCAGGGCAGATGGGTTAGGGTGATAGAAGAGTGGTTAGGAGACGGGAGGCTGTGGGTTCAATCCTCATACGGTGCGATGAGTTTTGAGGCTCGACGCGCAATCGCAGAGTCAAATACACCGTGGTTGAAGGAGCAAACCATGGCAGTTATTACCGCGCTACCAGTCACTTTTGCATCTGAACCGCTTCTCTTGGCGTATTTGACTCTGCGATTGCGCGTCAAGCCTCAAAAACCGTCGCACCGTATAAGGATCGAACCCACAGCCTCTCGGGTTGCGGTGCTTCGGCCATCCACCTGAGCTATTTGACGCCACATGCTTGAATGTTTTTTTTCACCCTTTGGATCATTTGTATTTGTTCAATATATTGACAGTTTCTCTCACAGTTTTCAGTCTTTCACTTTTTGTGTGGACAGTTAGATATACATTGCTGGCTTTATCCTTTGAGGATTTAATTGTACAAACGTCAATTGTGTCTAATTCTAACCTTCTGAATTGTTTTGTTTTTGTTCTCTCAGGCCAAGGAGCTACAGACTCTGCACAACCTGCGCAAACTCTTCGTTCAGGATCTCACCACGCGGGTTAAGAAGGTACATAACCTTCCCTCCTCTGGTTATTTGGTGTCATTCATCTACCAGTTTAACACAAAGCTCTGTGGGGGGGTTTTTTCCCCAAGAGTGCAGAGCTGGACTGTGAGGAGGGACTTGGAAATGTGGCCCAGAAACAGAAGATCTCCTTCCTGGAGAACAACTTGGAACAGCTCACCAAGGTCCACAAGCAGGTAACATAATCAAACTGAAGACTATACAAGAAATAAATGAAATATTCTTTACAAAATAGAAAGGTTCCATGATAGACAGTAGTATTTCTGTTTTCCCTCCGCCAGTGGTGGAAGTATTCAGATCCTTTACTTAAGTAAAAGTAGCAATACAAAGTAAAACAAGTAAAAGTTCTGCATTCAATATCACACATACAGCTAAATGTACAAAACGAATAAGAAATAAAAGTACTGGCATTAAGAATAGAATATACCCCTTTGACGTATAAAGTACTTTAATGGACAGACCGACATTGTACTTTCCACCGCTGCCCTCAGCTGGTTCGAGACAACGCAGACCTTCGCTGCGAACTGCCCAAGCTGGAGAAGCGTCTGAGGGCCACGGCCGAGCGAGTCAAAGCCCTGGAGAACGCCCTGAAGGAGGCCAAGGAGAACGCCATGAGGGACCGCAAGCGCTACCAGCAGGAAGTGGACCGCATCAAAGAGGCCGTCCGGGCCAAGAACATGGCCAGGAGGGGGTTCTCTGCACAGATCGGTGAGCTGACGGTCAAGATTCAAGACTTTGATAGAAGGGAAAATACAACATGTTCCTGAATAGCCACTTTCGTTTCTTGTTTGTGCCTCAGCAAAGCCCATCCGGCCAGGCCATCATCCGCTGTCATCGCCCATCAGCAGCTCCATCAGAGCTGGTGCCGTCTACGCCAACAACTAAAACCACCGCAGCAAGTTCACCCTGTGAGTAATACATTACAATACATTCTACATTCTTGTGAAAGTATTTGTTTCAGCCTTCTCATATTTTGTTTATTGAATTGAGACAGATTGATGATTTAACCGATAATGAATCGTGAAAATTTGGATTTAAAAACGAGAAACTAGACATAAAATGTTCCACAATCTCATTAAAACGAATGCTTTGTTTCTTCCCGCAGACTGAACTGAAGCATGCCCATCGCCACACCCGGAACCACAAGCCCCGCCCCTCCTGTTGGAGCACCAATGGGAGGCCATCACCACAGACCGTCACCGCTCAGAGAAGCAACATCCACAGTGTATATACTGATATGAGGTGTAAACATATTTAATTTGCTGAATGTAGATATCAGAGGCCTCGTTTAGAAAATGTCCCAAATTATGCTTTCAGGAAAGAAGAAGATCCAAACCAATTTTCTGTGATTCTCCTGATTTCATTTGTATTTATATTCATGCATTCTGTTGCATAACTTCAATCTATAAATGAGGCCCCGATCGAGACAGAAACGAGAAGTGTACCAGCTGATTTAGGACTGTGACTCTCCAAAGCTGGAGGAGCACGTAGATCTTTAGGGTTACTAATTCATCTTCAACCAGCACTCATTCATTTAAAAGAATAGTTTGATATTTTGGGAGCGTGCTTCTTGTCGAGAAGATGAGAAGATTTGTACCAATCAACATGCAGAGTGGTATCAATCCTCTCGTCTAACTCGCTGCAAAAAAAGCAAATATGTCCCGAAATGTCCAAGTATTCCTTTAAGAATGACATGTTTTGGGGCCAACAGTCGGCACCATTGCAGCTAAAGCCTTTGAGTTTCTCACCTTGATGAAGTCATAATTAAGACACTTTGTGCAGACAAAAACACTATTTGCGACAACATATTGTGTGTTAAAGCGTTTCCCCACTAACACCTATGCTAATGTCTTATTGTTGGAGTGTTTGTCTTTTGTTTTTTACATTTTCCCAGTTACTTCTTTTGTCTCCCAATAGGTGACAATCAAAAATCAAACACTACAAAGCTTAAAAAATCAGGTATGTCCCCTGCTGAGATATCTATTAAGTATGAAGCAATCCTAATTAAACTGTTTAATGACTGTAGACCTCCAACATTCATGGCTGACAATTATTTCTTAGTTGTTGTGATTGACTGCATCTGTAAGTCCTGCAGGGACACTGACCAGCCAATCAGGCGTTCCCGGGACTCACAGCAGTGCTACAGTCAGGTTAGTTATGTTATCATAGGAGAGTACAGCAGGAAAAGGAAAGCCTCCTCCGGTCAAATAGTCCTGATCAGCCAATCGGAGACCTTTTAAAACAAAGAGATAATGACAGATCAATGAATTCCCCCTCGACCAATCCTAGAAAAGTCTGTTTTCCACTCTGCCACACCTTGTGCCTTTAGATACACCTGAACTTGCATATTATTTCCACAGGTAAAAACATACTTGCCAGGTTTTGCAGAATAACTTCCACTTCCTAAATTGAAAGCAAGAGATTGTAATCGATGAGACCCGTTCAATCAAAAGATATATCAGATGTCTGTGCTGCTCCGTCTTCCTGCCAGTTTAGCATGTTTTTGGACGCACAATATTATCTCAAGATGATATTCTTAGTTGCTGAGAGCGATGATACAAAGGGCAACTTTCTAGGCAACAGAGAGTCGGGTTGCCAGAGAATATCAGCGTCTTTATTTGATGTTTATTTTCTGTACATGGTGAAGAAATTAATGTAACTGCATGGAGCTTGTGTTAAAGGCATGCTCGGGGAGGACGGACTAAGGCCATTTGTATACACCATGCATTACCTCACAGTGATGGACATTTTGTTTGCAAAACGCTTCTTCAGTTGTTTGTTTTGGCTGTGCCATCATATCTCTGAATATACCTACATCTGATGCCATTAAAGCTGATATAAATCTATTTCACTTTCATTTATCTTCATTTGTTTTCGTCAAAAAAAGACGGGCTTTCAGGTATTTTGTCATGATATAATCTTTAATCCCTATACATATACTTCCCTCTGTAACATTGCACATCATCATCATCAGTTTTGGACAGAACAGACGGATGTATTTTGGTCAGGTCACAAGTTAAATTAATAAAAATAATAAATAATAGAAAAATCTTCTTCACACAATCACATAAAGTTCCACATATTGAATACAACAATGTAACAGGACGGTTCAACCATTGTATCTGTACAAATAGATGTTCACGGTTTTTTCTCCACATAATTCACGTACTTTATATTACTGCACTTTTGGCCAACAAACGGTTACAGATGTAACCCCGGTTCTCCGAGTCTTTAAAGGTAATAGTGACGATGCTCCAAACCTGGGTCAAATAATATCGTATTTTTAGAGCATAATCTGTTTTATTTATCGCAGCAGGAAACTCAAATAGTGCTGCTTTTATTTATCCCTATTAATAGTATTTCTGCCAGGTGTTTCTTCTTTTTTTTTTTACAGAATCAGCTTCAATGAGTTCCTATTTCTCTCACATTTAGGATGCTGCTGGCTAACAAACAAACTGCACATTTTTACTGCAGAGAGAAATGAAATCAGCCGACCTTCACAAACACTGTAAACAACAAGGTCAGAACCAGGTTTCTCTCAAAGAGCAGCTTTTGACTAAGCCCACGGAAAAGTAGTCCATGTCCACAGTAACGCAGATAAAGTCCAAATGTTTCCGTTTGGAGATTTCCTATATGGCATCTTTACATTTTTCATCGTGACAAATCAGAATAGAAACTTGTTCTAAGCTCTAAACTGCAGTTAAGTGCTAAGTAAGACGGGTTTGTGGCCTGAATTTCACTTATTTTCATACAAATGCATTCAGTTAACTTTTATTATATCAATGATGTTATTCATTTGTAGCTCCTTTACTCAATGTTGTATAACTTTTAAACTCTTCCAAATTTGATTTTTGTTTTGAAAGGTGCTATGTAATTAAAGTTTATTATCATTATTACAATTATTATCATCCACACTCTCGTTAAGATCGTACGTTTCAGGGATCGACACCACTGTCGTAGTTACAATTTTTAAGACAGTCAGCAAATGAATCTGTATTTCCAGTCTCGACCGTTATCAGGAGTTAGGCGACGCTAATTCTGCAGTCGGTTGCAATTAAATCATTGCACAAGAAAGGGCCACAACACAACGATGTAAGTAAACAACGGCCAACCCAGGACTTCATTTCGACAAGTTAGAGGGCTCCTATGAGATGCCCATGTGTTGCACACTGTGTCTGGATGCATAACGGGGCTTTCACACCACGTTTTGTGATCTGAAACGGACCGTTTTTAAAATGAGCCATAAGCACTAACGTATATAAAGCATGTCATGGTCGTTGAGTTTGCAAAGTAAAGGAATAGTTCATCATTTATCTGCATTATCGTGCACATGGTCAGACTTGATCAGAAGCTGCACGAAACAAACCAAGCCCTGCTCCCTTCAGTACAGTTTCAACACATTCACATGCATCCTCACCCTTTCACACAGCGCACCCACCCAATATGCACCCCACACACACAAACACCCACAGAAACAGAAGCTCAACATACGCGGTGTCGACATTGTTTTTACACCCAGGAGTCGGGGGAGCCGGTGAACTTGTTCGCCCTGTTTGAAGGCGTCCGTGTGGTGGAGTAGAAGTCCACGTAGTTGGTGTTGGCTTTAAACTGGAGCGACTGGCTGGCGTAGCCGTCGGGGGAGGACGGGGTCAGGTGGACCGGTTCGTCCTCGTACTGCTCCTCCCCGTAGCCTTGTGGGGACGACAGGTACATTCTGTAGCTGTTGTAGTTCTTCCTGTCGGGTTCGTCGTAAAATGGCTCTGTGTGCTGGGAAAGGAGCCATGGATGAATTACAGTGAGCCAAATGTCTGGTCACACCAGCATTAATAAAAGGTAAAATACTGCATGAATCTCAGCGCTCATAAGACCTGATTCAGCAGTACAACCAGTCTGCAGCACAGCTAGGCCTTTTCTGCCGTTAATGCTCAATATTTGAATGCAACAGTGCAGCTGAATTTTACAAATGCATTACCTGGGACCTTCTCAAATCCTCTCCCGACTGGGAAGAATATGTCCCAATGAAATACGGAGTTTTCTTCTCAGACCCTGAAGTGAAAAATTCAAAAAGCATGAGCCTACACACAGGTGCAACAGTCATAATGTGGTGTTAATCTGCACGAACAACACGGACCTGTGTACTGCCGTTTGTGTAAACTGTTGTCGCCATAATACGTGTCGAGTTGCATAGATGACTGCGCTCTCTGATAGTTAGAACTGTGTCTTCGTATCCCGAGCATCGCCGGCGAGGACGTTGCACTACCACCTGAGGAAACAGCCAATTGTTTTCTTTAGATGTACACTTTCCAGGAGTTTCCTGAGCTTTTGATGTTTATGGAATCTTTTTGAGACCTCACCCACCTGACTGGATGACGGGGGACATCTGCAGCGGGCTGGTGGGCAGGGTCGGCTGTGAAAGGTAGCGGTCTCGCTCCAGAGTGGAGACGGGAGTCACGAAGTGAGTGTAGTTCCAGCCGTCCTGCACACACACAGTTCACATGGGTTTAGTCAGAATCATACGGATGCTTTCTCTGGTTCTCTGGGTGTTTGTGCAGGAACCGACCTGTTTGTAGAGGTTCCTCAGCTCTCTGTACTGCCACAGCGTGTTTAACACCTGAGCTGCTGCCTTCACAACCTTCATCTGGTACCTGCAACATCAACGACACAAGTTATTGTCACACAGTATGCTGCCAAACAACTAAGTTTGTTTGTAATGATTATGCCAGCTCTGCTTGTTTATGCCATGCATCCTAATTTAATGTGTCTCTGACTTCTTCTATAACTTGTTTTGGAGCTGTATTTGTATACTTATGTGTGATAAAGTCAAAGCCAGTAGGAAGGCAAACTGTTTACATTTAAAAGAAAGTGTACATGTTGTCATTATTTACTCGTGTGCTATAATTAGGATCCGGATAAAGAGACTTTAAATGATGCCTTCTTTCAGAAGTGGATGCATTAATAATGTACGTGCCTTTTGTTTATTGTTCTTAGTTATGTATGCATGGAAATAAAAGTCAAATCCAACATGCTTTGCAAAGAGAACCCGTCTCTGCCGTGTCGTACCCTTTCCCTCGTCCTTTACTGATGTCCACCAGCTTCTCGATGCCTCCGCTGTCAGCCAAAGCTTTGGCGTTCTCCATGTTGCGGCTGGTGACCTCGTGCAGCGTGCAGCAGACCGACGCCACCGTTTCGTCCGACAGCACCGGAGGAGTGCCGCCGGGCAGCCGGTTCACCAGATCCCGCATGGCGTACTTTCCTGAACGAGGGGACACAGAATGTGGACTTCATTTAGACTGAAACATTCTCACTCTGTTGTAAAACTTATCATCCATCATATTAAATTGATTCTTTTGTTGTTGTTTGTTTGTTTGATGGCAGATTGATGATTTAATTTGTGTTATCTTCTACACAGGCAGGATGCTCCCAGTGAGTGTCTCCTCTTCCTCCTATTTAGGGTTTTAGAAGATGCTCTTAATAAAGAGCCTAAGGCAAAGTGTTGGCACGGACTGGTGTGGACTCTTTATTAAAGGCCCCGTCTCTCACTTCCAAGTGGGTAACTCCAGATGTTTGCCATCGGCAGTTGGATTATTTCACCTTAAACACATCTGTTCTCCATTAGGGGGCGATGAGTTATCACACTTTCTACATCAGTCTGACGGACATGAAAAGACTTTCTGTCTTTCTGTTCTATTTTGAACAAGCTGTCTGATGTTTCTGTGTGAAGATTCACAGTTTGAGTTTCTGGGATCAAACTGTTTCTGCACCTATCAGCTCCTTGTTGCGGCTGTCCAGCGCCATGTTGCGGAGGGCGGTGGCGACGGAGCAGACGACCCGGTCGTTGTCCATCCTCAGCAGCTCCACCAGGATGGGCAGACCTTTCTCTTTACGCACCGCTGCTCGGATGTAGGCAGAGAACTGGACACACACACACACACACATACAGTTTTATTGCTTGAATCAGCTAACTTTAAATATTGTGGTGTTGCTATCATAAAGAGGACTTCTACCTTCCAGTTTCCAGCAGAGAGGTTTTGCAGCGACCCAGCGGCGCCCTCAAGCGTGGCGGGGTTGGAGCTCTCGGCCAGCAGGTTGAGGTACGGCTTCACCACTATCGGGTGCCACAGCAGCTCCGCCCCCCTCAGAGACTGGGAGAAACCTGGCATCGGCCCGACGCCGTCCCACTGCACCAAGCACACAAATCGACATGCAGAATATGTTCTCGACTTTCCAATCAGACTAAAAACAATTCAAACACTCAAGGAGAGCAGATTCTTCCAGGACCTCCACACCTCTGAGGGAAACCCCCACCCTCTGTGTTCGTACCTTGTCGTCGGGCCAGCCGCCCCTCTTCCTGCCGCGCCTCCTCTTGCCCCAGCAGAGGTAGTCCAGCTCCTTGGCCTGGGAGGAGAAGCCCAGCAGGGTGTCCAGCTCCTGGTTGCCGAGCAGACGAGAGGAGGGCATCTCCACCTCCAGCCGGTACGAGAGGTTCCTCAGGGTGCAGACGCTGTTCTCCACGATCTGACACACAGAGAAGTCTAAATATCTTACAGAGCATGTAATCCAAGAGACAAAGGCAAATCACATGGTCTGACCATTATTCTGTGTGTGTGTTTGCAGCACCTTGCTGTCGTAGTCGGAGGTGTTGACGCAGGCTTTGAGGACGTGAAGCAGCGAGTCCACAAGGCCTTCACAGCAGCGCAGTTGACTCCTCGCCTCCTCCCCTGCTGAGCTCAGGTTCCTCACACACACAAGGAGCCACGCATTAATTCAGACTGAAGTGCAGTGTGTTGAATCCCCCACAGGGTGGCTCAAAACCTGCCCGGATACAAGTAAAGGAGGGGGCCGATCCTCCAATAGGAGCCTTCAGCTGCCACTAATGGGAGAGCTGACATGAGGAGGCTGCACAGCAGCACGTAACTCCCACAATGCATTTCTATACCATCAATCTACAGCCCGAATGCAGAGTAATGCTGGAGATGTAGTCCGCCTGCAGCACAGAGTCCCTTAAAGATATTAGAGGGAATAAATAATCACCAGTTTGTGTACACTCGTGATCAAAGATGATTAATGAAGACATTAAAATTAATTTAGTTTGAGCGATTGGCTCCTGACACTAAAGAATGACGGCAGACGTCCAGTCAGGCAGTTAGCAGCATGGGAAGTCCTCACTCAGCAGGTTTAACTCATTTCAACGGTTCATTGTAATCTCTTGAAACAACAGTTGTACGTCGGTGTGCTCATTCAAATTAAATCACGTTTCAGGTGTGGAGACTCTTCACAAATACACAGAGGCAGCCTTCAGGTCACACGGGGCCGAGAGAGTTATACCGTGTTTACAACATGTGAGCATTTATCCGACAACAAGATGGTTGTGTAGCTGCAGATTTGGTTGTTTGAGGTTTAAAAACAAAGAAACATTCGATTATTATAGTGAAGATTACGATCAAGATTACATTATCAAAGCGGGAACATTTTATCATCGTAGGAACAAACAAAACAATAAATCTATTACACACATTCAGCAGTGGGTGCGCTTGATTCGTTCCTCACCTCAGACAGCCGGTGGTGTTACGCAGCAGCAGGGAGGACTGGAACTTGACTTTGTGTTCGTCGCGGTGGGAGACGCTCCAGCCCGAGTGGGGGATGACCACCGTGTTGGTCAGCGTGGACAGGGCGTCACGGATGATGGTCATCTTCACCGCATCGCATGAGGAGAGGTTCCACAGGACGCCTGTGGGTGCAGGGTGCCAATAAAGATTCGTTTTTTGAATTTGCTGTTTGGCATATTTCACACAGCAGTCTGGTGAATATTGAGATATTTTCTTTCCCGGTTACATCAGAGCAGGGACCTTCTGGCTCCTTGGCTAACGTCAAGGCAAAGTGTTTTGCAGATATGTTTCTTAACATTAGGTAGTGTACTTATGGTAGATACATTTTAAGTGAAGAAGACAAAGACCTGCAGTGATTTGGGAACACTAAAGCACTGCTTTAATAGACGACAACCAGCCCTGAGCTGTAAAAATAGAAACTTTCCCAAAGCTTTATATCAAACTGAAGACTCTCCTCCGTGTCTTTCCCAAGAATGTGAGGCGTCTAACAGCTTCTCTCCTCCTGGTATTAAACAGTATGTGTGTGTGTGTGTGTGTGTGTGTGGGGGGGCTGCAGAACTGTCAGCAGCATCCTGTTTCCAAAGCACATTATCTTAGCATCTGTCCCGAGGACTGTGCCGAGATCTGTTCTGTCAACACCGAGCTCTGAGTGTTTAAGCCGCTGCCGCTCTCACCTCCCACAGAACAGCCGATACACAGATTAATACACTGCCAGCCAGTCAGGCGGCGACACAGACCGACGCTCAGCCAGCGAGCCGGGTAGCCAACGGCCCTCACAAGCAGGCGGACGCCCACGCCAATCACAGCGGGATTTCAATGTTTTTGTCAATGTGGATGCTGCTTTCAACTGAATTTAGTCGACAGCTAGACGCTCCCGTTCTGTATCTGACCTGCTGGATTTTGGGTTATTATTTTAGGATTTAAAATAAAACCATGGTGGGAGGTTTGGTGAAGGCCACTTGTTGTTGTTTTTATCATTAACTACTGCTGTAACTTATGTCCTGGAACTGTATACTTTGATGCTAATAGATGCAGGCTGTCTCAGATGTGCAGCCTTTTAAAAACATTTTCTAATCTGAGTTATAACAATCTCCCAATAAAGTGTATTTCCTTGCCTCCATGGAAAAGAAGTGCAGAAGGGATGTAAAGAATTAAAAATCATTTTAAAAACCTTCGTAAATGTTTGTCCTATGACACAGCACCTTTAGGTGAGAAACTGAATGGAAACATAACTTTTGTAACTCCACAGAGTTCCTTTAATTAAAGCCGACGAGTCGTACCAGTGACCAGCTCCCGGACTTCGTTGTCGGTTGTTTTCCTGAGGAGGCGCAGCAGAGCCGGCACGCCGCCGCAGTTCCTCAGTGCCACCTTGTTGTTGTCGGTGGCCTTGCCGTACACCAGGTTCCTCAGGGCCCCACAGGCGCTCTTCTGAACCTCCGTCAGCTTGTGATCCAGCAGGTCCACCAGATGCTGGATCCCTCCCAGGTGACAAACCTGCAGACCAGGGACCAATCGGAGCGATGGATTTAAAAATGATGGCTCGAGCTATTAAAGCATATTGATAATGCTTTTACAAAAATCTTTACAAGAAAGTAGGAATTCAATCAATGCAAATAACTTTTAAAAGAAAAACCCTGCACTCATTTCATGCAGCACTGATTCTCTGAAATATTTTGTCTGAAGCATCACTGTGGGATGTTCAAAACTTTCCCGTGTCATCTCGAAATAAACCCGTCCCAGGAGCGCAGCAGACGCTCCTCGTTCCTCTCCGATGCTGCGTTCAAACCGTCACTGGAAACATTTGTCTCTGGCAAAAATGAGCAGGCGCGTTTCCAGGCCGCTCCAAAGGCTAATTAAAAGCTCATCACCAAACAAACCAAAACGGCACTAAAGTGGCTCTCGCTTGAAGCTCCGCCTTTGTGATGGAGTTATTTATTGCACGGGAAACAGAGCACAGGGAAGAGCGAGCGGCGGCACATTTGGCACCGGCGTTACTTAAAGTTTCATTGGAGCAGATGGCGCTTTGGCTCAGACGTTGGCAGCAAAAACAAGTCAAATTTCAAACCCTGTAAGCTGAGAATAAACTCTTAGAGACGGGGATACAATAGGAGATGTCTGAGGCAAATAAACACTGAGGTCATGAAGGGAGTGGCAGCACCTTCCTCCACCCGAGGAGAGAGTCATGACCGTGACGTCGGTCTAGTTATTTTCACTCAGACGGCAGCCCAGCGCGTCCCGGTCTCCTTACCTCCACCTTCACCCTGTTGTCTCCGTAGCACAGGTGCTGCAGGTAGGCGGCGGCGTTGGCCTGGACGGAGGGGAAGTGATGCTGCAGCATGTGGATGACCTCCGGCAGCTCTGGGTCACGCCAAGCAAACTCCCTGAGGGGAAACGAAGAGCGGAGTTCATTCACAAGCAGCTCAGAACAAAACACAGTCTAACATTACACAAAGTTACTATTTAATTCAGGTTATATTTAATCAATGAATAAGTAAAAACCCTGGTCTCCTGTGATATTTGCAGACATGACTGCATAAGATGATAATGCATTCATGCAAAAGATTGCTCATGCATACTGTATCTTTACACACGTCTGAATGTGTGTGTGTGTGCGAGCACCTGGGGTCCTTGTGGATGCTCTCGATGGACGGCGTGCGCGTGGCCACCCGGTCCACCAGTCCAGAGTGCCGGTGGGAGAAAATGGGCTCGCCGGAGACCCTGTAGGAGTCGACGTACAGAGCTGCGGTGCTCAGCCCGTAGCTGCTTCTTTGGTACGGCAGCGTGCCGCATTGGCTTGTGGTCCGAGGGAGGGTCCCCATACCTGAGGGAAGGACGCGAGGAGACTTAACAAACAGAGCAGGGTTTGGACAAAAGGTTTGGTTTTTATCAAAAATACATCCACGGTCACAGAAAAGAGAAAATGTTATCGTGTTACATAAATGCTGAAAACAAGCATTTAAAGCAGCGGGCTGTCTCACAGGCCGAACTTGTTTAAATCTAAACGAAACTAAAATGGCTCCTTAGATGCTCCACTATGAAACTCCGCAGAGCTTTCAGCTTTAAATCATTCTGCAAAGGCTTCAATTAGGAAGCAGCAGAGTACATGAAAGGTTTCAGCCTAATTACGTTCTGACCTCGGGGAGCGATAATAACAACGGTTCCTGTGACTGTAAACCCTGATTTCCTCCGCAGATTTTTAGAGAAATAATCTTCTAAGCAGATGTGAAACTGAGTCCGGCTGCTCAACCCGGGGACCGGGGCACCTGAGGGGGACGCTGATGTGAAAAAATAGCTTGTTTGAGTAATTTAATGAGCGTTATTTGGAATGAATTCTGTTTTTACAGTTCACATAAGACTGTTTGTATGTTTAAAAAAGCTCTAATAAGCAGAATGATCTAGTTTAGAAGTGACCTGCTGCAGTACCTGTGGTAGTCCTGTAGAGGGAGCCCTGGGGGTCGTGGGTGGGGCTGTGGTACAGCGGGCTGTGGAAGGAGCGCTCATCGAAAACGGGCGTCATGAGGCAGTCCGGAGACAACGCCGCCCTCAGCTCTGGATCCATCTGCCCCGAGTGACCGGCGTACGAGCTGTGAAGCCCTGCAGGTGCACGAGTAAAAACATGGGCAAGTTCACTTTATTTAAAAAACTATTATCATTTGGAAGCTATTGATAACAATCTGGCTTTTCTGACATTTCGAGGAAGGCGCTTTCATCTCAATTAGTAGATTCTTTGTGGTTATTGTGCCAATATTGTTGTAATTATGTTCATTTAAACAACAAAACAAGGCTTCTTGCAAGGAAACCTCTTCAATTAACCATATTTCATATAGAAAAAAGGAGAAAGAGGAGAAGAAGGAAAAGAAGAAGAGAAGGTTGAACTGTAAAATGTTTGTCTCCAGAATCCCTGTGCGCAAAATGAGCTGCGTAATATCTGAGAGCCAAATAAAGTCTCCGTCTGTCGTCATGCTCACACATAACTCATATGTTCATCTGTAGGTGAGGCCATGCAAATCAAAAGTGTCCCAAAACAGTGGATTTCATAACGCCGACTCATCCCGGGCGTTGTTGTGCTTATAAAACGCATAATAAAGACTCGGAGTCTGCTGCAGGCGTCGACATCAGCAAGTCAAACAAGCAGCAGAGGGTTTCTCCATCCTCCAATCTGAGAGCAGATCAGTTCAAAGAGCGCTCCAATTATAACGAGGCTTTAGGGCACGAGGGGGGGGGGCAGCTCGCTGGATCAGTCCAACAAGAAGAAGCACACAATTTGCACTTGGAGCTGAGGATGAAGGAGCTATTTGCTTCTGCAGCGCTCTTTCCATAAGACGGTCTTTAGTCGCAAAGAATATTCCTGTGGAGGAAAGTATGAAGAAGGTGCACTTATTGTGACACAGCCTTGTTGAGTCTGGAACTCAGTTTATTCTTCTTCTGAAGGGCCCCTCAGCAGCGAAGGACACCAACAGAAACTGTGACCTCCAAGTTAGAGGATGCTTAAGCTACCAAAAGCTCGAGTGCTTTTTAACTGGATGTTATTCACTATAAACTCTATAGAAGTGGATATCTTTACCGTTGCATTGAGGTTGTTTTGGTCAAGTTTGCATTCTCGTAGTTGCAAAATTAAACCATTTACCACGACTTTTAACTAAATAGCAAATCGTAATTTTTGTCAAATCAGCTACTCTGCAGTCCCTCCACATATCATGAATATCATTGCACTATTACATCTATCTTTCACTGTAACGTTGCAATTTTTTTAACCAAGTCCACACAAAAAAAGGATCATCTCGCAGCTTCCGTCTGGCTGCTCACCAGGTTTCACTACCTAAGCTACGAGTGCCACTGATCAGTAATAACCTAATCTCGTATATCCATCTATTGCTTATCTCGCTCGTGTAATCTGGGATTATGTTGGATCTGCGGGATAACTGGGAATAAGGATTTAGGAGACGTATTAGGCCACTTAGCAGCACTGCAGGATGGAAATCACCCAGCTAGAGAATCACAGGCATTTTATTTAGTTCATTGACTCGGCCCTCCCACACACAATAAATCCATTTCCTTTCCAACACATGCACAAACACAACAGCACCACACAAAAGGTGCATATGCCGACGTCCACGCGCACGCTGATGCACACATGGACGAGCGTCCTATGAAAACGATGGCAGCAGAATAAAAGCCTTCCAGTGCCGTCAGCTGATAATCACAGGCTGATGCTCCACGAGGGCTTTGTGATAGGAACACCCCTATATGGGTCAGTGGGAGCGGCTTAGGAAAGTGACAGCGGGCAGGACGGAGGAATAAATCTGCGTTGCTGCTGCAGCATCAGCAGCACTTTTAACACCGTAAATCCTCCAAATGCTACACAACAAAGTGTGTGGAGAAAGTTGTCAAAGGCCAGTTAATGAGAGAGGAGGAGCTGCGATAGATGTTTTATGTTTCTGATCTCATTTCGCAGAAGAAAGGTCTTTTTACAATGTTTAATGCATCTGGTTCAAAGCTAGTCTGGGTTTGAAATGTGCTCCTCAAACAGGCGTCTGAACACCAGACTTAATGAACAGCACAGAGATAATCTCAGCCAGACTCTGCTCAGCTGTCTTAATCAGTCAGAGAAAGTCAATCAGCTTCTCATCATCATCATCATCATCATACTTATACTGTAAAAGCATTATGCAGAGCAACTTCAGCATTCTCACTACTTTGTTAGAATAAACTGCTTGAAAAAAGCCTAAAAAACAACTCTAAATAATGAGTAAATGTGACAAACATTATTTCCATTACAATAAAAAACGTATTTATAGATCTTAAGAATGAACTAAAGTTGTTATTTAAAGATAAATAAGCAAATAAATCAGTGTGCAAACACACCGAGTATTATTAATTTAATCTGTTACTGTTAATTGTTCCATTTGTTTGGTTAGATGTTATTCTAATTGGTTGTGTGTAATGGTGATATTTCGTTAGTTTTATTATTGATATCAATATATTAATAATTCATATATTTGTATTTAGACCGAGCAACAACTACATTTATCATCGAGCTAAACATTTCCTGCTTCTTCCTTTAGAGGATTTGCTGCTTTTCTCCGTTTCCTCTCACTTTACGTTGAACATCTTCAGGTCTACCTGACAATTTATTGATTCATCAAATTATTAACTGACAGATTCATCAATAACAACAAAAGAACAGACTTCACAAACTCCCCATACCTGCATTGTCTGAAGCTGCATTGGAGTATTAAAGTAGAAGTTGTGGCGGTGAAGCGCTGCAGAGAGAGCTGAGCTCAACTCACCTGGAGTCTCAGGGTTCAGTCACAAAGAAACAAGAGCAGCTGCAGTAAATCAGGACCCGACTCTGCCTCCATTGCATACTGTTTATGGTTATTCTGACCAATAAATAAAATCTCCCGAAAACACAGCATGACTTGTCAGGAAACATCTGCAACAGCTCGACTGACAAAAAGACGTATTTGACTCACTATTCTAAAAGTATTCAGACTAAGTGCACGACAAATTACAATTAATTTTACTGTCAAATAATCTGCCAATTATTATAAAGAAATATTCAATTTACTGTCAGAAACTACATCTATTTACACCTATTCTCTCTTCTCATAATTACAAGATATGTTCCTGTAATTATGAATTATTTTCTCATAATTAAGGTTGAAATGTAATTATGAGGTCTTAACATAATTATGAAGACTTTCCTTGTAGGAATGAGGTCTTTGTAATTATGAGGTATTTTAGCGTAATTATCAGAAAGTCACAATATTACATGACATGTCCAAGTATTACAGGACTTTCATGAACATTAACCGCCTTATCACATGTATACTGTATACTGTAGTATTATTATTGGGATCATATACATCTGATTTAGCTTCTGCATGCATTTATTCCAGATGAAGTAAAATGGTTTATGGTTCTAGAGGAAACTCATGTTGTCTAACTGGACTTCGATGAGCTGCTGCCTCCTGATCGACTGCTTCATATGAAGACCAATAGATACTAACATGGTTTGTTCTCCCACACTTCACTTGCTCAGCGGTGCCTGAGAGAGAAACTCTAGACTAGAGGAAGCTCTGCACAACAAGCCACTGTGATCCACTGACGTGTGCTCATTTATACCGTAGATCTTTGTCTGGTTTCCCTTCAGACTGCAGCAGAACAATCGCCCAACAAGATTAGTTCAAAACATCTACCTGGTAAAAGGGAAGTCCTCCTCCCCTTTAAAGATTACATTCCTTATTTTCATACTGGCATGCATCAAATGAAATGTTATCAAACACAGCAGCATTATCTGCCAGTGCCGAAAGATGATTTGACTAAAAACTGCATGAAACGAGCTTCCTAAGCCTGGTTCGAGATAAAATCCTCTGCCGAGCTTGCACTTCGCCTGAAAGTTATTTTGTTCAACAAGCAGCTTTATTTAAAGATTCTCACTGCTGCACAGAGATACAGGAAACTCTGCAGAGCAAGTTTTGTGTGCTACAATATTAAATCCGTCAACTTTCCCTGGACAAAGGAAAGGTTATTAAATCAACAGGAGAGATGGTGTTGAGGCTGTGGAGCGTGGCTTTTCTTTACAAGGGGACACACATTCAAACCGTCTTCGACTGCAGCAGCCAAACTCTGCAGTAAATCTGATTTCTGGAGATTTTCCGGCCCAGATTACGACCTGGTTGGGTTTGAGCGACCCCTCCGGAGCACAAAGTGACCTCTCTAACTGCACTGCACCTCTCACGAGATCTGCATTCATTAGTCCTTTATGTCCGTGAGTAATATAATATCAAACCACCATTAAAAAACACAGTCTAAGACAAAGGATGTAGATATTAATGCACATTCTAATGTTTTATCACTAGTAGTAAATAACGTGAGAGCACGTGGATGTCGGACTGACCTATGAGGCTGTCGGGTCGGGGCAGTGCGCTCCTCTGGTACAGCCCGTATGGATCCGCTCCGTAGGCCAGCGGCTGGCTCTGCCTGGGCAGCGTGGAGCCGTAGTGCTGCGGCACCGCCGTCATGCCCGCACGCAGCGGTGACCCCGTCAAACACCTCCCCTCCACCAGAGACAGGGTGGAGCCCAGACGCCCACCAAGACCTCCTCCTCCTCCGAGTACCAGGCCACCCTGCGTGCCGTCAGTCGGGGAGTTTGGCGAAGGGCAGGAGGGCGGCATGGAGGTGCCGGGGAACACGGCGGCTAGAGGTTTGGGCTCCGACAGGATGGGGGAATCGTAGTTGCTGCCCTGGGATGTTCGCAGGGAGATCCGGGAGGGCGAGACGGTGCCGGCGGTGCCACCGCCGGGAGACTGGCTCCTGGAGGGGAGGGAGGCCATCCTCCGCAACACCCTGCCTGACACCTGAGAGGAAGATGGGAGAACAATTATACAAACTATATTGTGTTACAAGGAGGCATCTGTTTCTATATCTTTGAGTAAATACCATTAAATGATTGCTGTTATGACTGTGCAGTATACATAATAGAAAATCAATGTTAAAAGGAATCTAAAGGAACAATTTAAGAGGTAGTATTTACTACAGCATATATAATCATCTAGAAGAATAAGAAGGATGTCATTGATAAAAAGTGCTTTTTAGGAGTTCTTATACACCAGAAAAGATATAAAGAGCTGTTTTTTGCATCCTGCATATTCATGTTTTGTGGTCGTGTGCAGCACTTTTGCTTTATGTTTTCTGAAAAATTGGACTGTGCACACTGCGCTGTCAATATACTTGTCAGTTACCAGTAATGTGACACTTTGCATCTGATGAAGGGCATCATTATCTTTTTCATTTTTCCAAATAAGTGAACGTGAATGAATTCATTAGTGTGAAGGCTGAGCTCTGCCAGTCGTAAATAAATTACGTTTCAGGGAAGATTTGAGAGAATTTTTCATATTTATGTTGGCAAACATTTACTTTTCTTTCCTCCTTATTACTAAATGTAAAATGTCCCTCAATTACTGACTCAGCCAACTGGATGCCGATCTGTGTCGCCTTAATCCATCAGCCTCGAACGCCTCGGAGGAAAATGAAGAGCCGAGACATGTAAGCGCATCCAGAGAGGCTGCTCGGTTCGGAATAAATCAGCTCACTATTATCTGTCATTCCTGCTTCGTGCTGTCATGCAAATAGCATATAATTATTAGCCACAATGAAAGGATAATATGATTCCTTTGGAGACAATTTGAAGATATAGTTTGAGTTGAATTTCTTTTTTAGCTGAAGTTCTTCATCAGTCATGACAGTAATTATTGAGCCCCTACCAGCTGTCATTACTCTGGGGATGAAGAGTATTATTCACAGCAGAGAAACAACCAAATATCTCAGGTGACACCTGAAACATGTGAGGAGTAGAAAACAATCTCAACAGAAGGTTCAACTAAGCGGCTGAGCCGGAGCTTCATGTCAAAGGGTTTCTCATCCACATTAGCGTAGAAGTCAGAAGTGAGCTCCTACCTGTCCAGAGGCTTGACCCTCAGCTCTCGGGCTTCTCGATATCGAGGCCCGGGGCTCCGAACGCACCACGTTCTGGTTGCTGTAATAACTAACACTGCTGTCCTGGTAGCCGCTGTCTGAATACGAGGTCATGTGGGCCGAGTGGCCTCCTGAGCCTGAGAGGAACGAGAGAAGAGAAGGTGAGGACACACCGAAGACGCTGCGTCTTCATTATTACCAATCGGTGCTTCTTGTGAAACGGTAAAGCAGTCTGAGTTGTGATCAAAAACCAGCCGGCACAGCCACAGTCAGTTGAGGTTTACAGATTTGCATATTATCTCTTTTGGCTTTCAACTTGTTAAAAGGCATTATGCATATGAATACATGCGGATATCTGCATTAAGCCTTTATGCTGCTCCTGGAACAATCTGCGTATAGCTCCAATAACGCTGGCCTACTTTCTCCTGTAGGACGAGGAAGAGGAAGCATGTGAGGGATATTTTTATCAGACCACTCCAACGGTATGGAAAAATAACAAAGACCAAAAGGCAAATGTGTTTTTAACATTTACAACAGCTACTCAGAAGCCAAGCGTTTGCTGATGACATTGTAAGAAGACTGTTGAACAGTCTTTTGTAAAGATCTCTCAGAGTTTGCTTCAGGCTTTTTTTGGATGCATGCAAAGTTTTGACAGTAATATTAAAAAGATGAGTTGCTTCCTTTTGTGTCATCTGTTTAAAAAACAGATAAAACGGCACACATGAGAACTCACAGCTGCACCGACTGCAGCTGTATGAGCCTCCCCATCTTTGGTGGTTTAACACGAGCTTGGAGGAAGCCTGATGGACCGAGGTGTCATCCGCTCCACTGAAGATGCCTAATGTCCAACAGCGACAGGCTGTGGTTGCACTGCAGAGCTCCCAGGTGTGAATATATGTGAGGCTCTTCTGACAGGACTCTTAAAAAAGTAAAGAATAAAACTCACACAGCGGAGTGGAGACAGACTTCCATGTTTTGGGTGATTTAAACTGATCTGAATAGATGCTTTCATCTGAAAACGCCACCACAACTTTACTTACATTCGTATCTAAATCTGAGTAACTGCCAAGAAAAACAAGCACATCAGCCTCCTACTGGAGAGTTAGTTACAAGAGGGATCTGTGGTACAGATTTCTCCGACTTTGCATCATAAAATGACAAAGTTGATGTGGGTGGCAACCAGACTTCAAGAAAAAGATTGTGCTTTCATGAGCTTCAGAGTTTTGTTCAGACCATGTGGTTTGTACATGTAACAGACCCTCACTGTCATGCAGGGAGGCTCGGTCCGGTTCAGGCATGAAGAGTCCCTCCTCCGCCTCCAGGTGACGTCCAGACGCCTCCAAGACTCCGCCCTGCGACTCTCCACCTGCGGGGGCGTCAACCGTCGAGTTAAAATCGTACAGAATTTTAAATTAAACGTATCGATTCTTTGGCACAAAAACACACAGCATTTTATATAACGGCGCTTTTGTTTTATTGGAAAGCCGACAGTGAAGAATGACCCAGGAAGCTGAGTGGAGGGATCTGTGACAGCATAGTAAATGGATCCATTTCAAAGCCCATATATTCTGGAGGAAACATTGTTTTGTTTTGCTTCACCGGCCGGCGCTGCATTCTGGCAATTTCCAGCCCTTTGGAGGCTGCATTGTCTTCCTACATCTGGGAAAGTGCTTTATTTAGAGACGAAATGATTAGATTTGATCTGATTTTAAGCTCTAGGGAGCTTTTGTTTGCAGTGTAAGATAGTAACACTTTAAATTATCCCTTGTGGTTTGTAAATCGGAAGCTGTCATCTTTCTGTAACCTTATCTTCTTCAAAGTATCTTTCAAAAATAAAAAACCTTAAAGGTTAAAAGGGAGGAATCTGTACCTGCAGACCTCCATGCAAACGACTTCTCAGATGAGCTTCAGCAGAAGAGAAGTGGAGGAAATAGAGGAGAGGAGGAAGCACAGAGACGGAAATCAAATCAGAGTCATGGCCGAACACTTTACATTCAATCAGTCCCGGAAGAAGAAGAAGAAAGATATATATATATATATATATATATATATATATATATACTGTATATGCCATTTTTAGAGGGTCAAAACTGAAGTCCCTCTTCATGCATACAGTGTTTTGTGCATCAGAAGGTTGATGTTTGCAAGTTGTGACAACACAATGTGACTGTCGACTATCTGAACATCATTCCCCGTGAAGACGACTAAGATCACTATTACTGTATGTGTTTTGACAGCGCCGCCTGCAACCAGGCATGATTTACAGCCAACTGTAATCCATAAAACACAAATGGATGTTTCTGATGTATTTTGAGACGACGTTAAGAAAGTTAACTGCATCTTAAGTGCAGTTTAGTTTTACAGAGAAGGGCCAGTGGGACTAAATCAGTGTGAATAAGTGCTCAAAGGACAAAAGGGATCAATTTCAGTCTGAGATCTATTTCTTGGTGCAAAATACTTAAATAAAGAAGCAACATCTGTTGTTCAATGCAGGGCATATGTACACGTCATGCTTACCTGCTACTGTCTCCCGCTGGCGACTCAGCTCCCAGCATGCACCTCTCCAGCTGGCTCGCGACAATCTGCCGCTCCTCCTCCAGCTCCCGAGTCAGCCGCTCAAACTGAAGCTCCTGTGGGAAGACGTTTACGGCGGTGATTATTACAACTCGACATCCACCGAGACAGCAATTTAAGCCTCCTTTTTAACAACTGTTTGATGCCAGTTAGAATTACATGTAAACCTATTTCTCACTGACTGTGAGCTCGCTGAGAGAAACACTAAAACGATGTCCAGGACCTTGTAATGGCCTTCAGTTCAGATAATTTAATAACTCGCATTTAAGAATTTTAGCACCAAGCACAGAGGATCGAGCAGAGGATGATGAAACGTAGATTTTAAGGCCACAATTTACGGCAGAGAGTAGAAACGGAAGTTTTACTCGTTGATTGTGATCCTCCAGGAAGACAACTCTGACCTTACATCTATTATTGTGCCAGTTCTGTGTTTGTAGAGGAAGACTGAACATAAAAAATGCTCTCTGCCATTACATATCGCAAGTTTTCCAACTTAAGTTTGTCGGACTTTTGATGGCAGTTAAAATCAAATGTAAGACACATTTTGCATTCCGTCCTCCATGATTCATCAAAAATGTGATTATGCACAGAAACAATGTAATATACATCTCAAAATATGCATGAAATTTGGCCATTAGAAAGAACTTTTGGCAATTTTGACAACCCAAACACCACGACACTACAACACGTCCTACTTATAAAAAGTCCCAAGAGCTGGGAGGGATCCAATGCCTTGCTCAAGGGTAATACAAGCAGAGCAGATGTTTGCCAACTGTGGTCTGGTATCTGGTAGTTTCGGCACTGCCTCATTTGTATTCTGTTACATAACACGCAGCCTTCCCAGCCGCTTCATAAATCTTCCAGGAACCACAGCTGGTGTCATCACGGAGGTCCGCTGGAGAATTAGCTGTCTGCAAATAACGTCTAAATATAAAACCACCCGGCTGGAAAACACACCGCTACCCAGGAAACCTTGTTGTGTGGTAATAAAGGGAATGTGAAAGGTCCGATGAGGTCGATGTGTTTACTGTGACACAGTTTGTCAATAGATTTTAGTTTTAAGGTCACTTTCACACCTGTAGTTTGGAACATTTAGTTTGGACCAAAGTTAAGCTAACAGGCCATTGCTTTTTAGCAGAGGTGGAAACAAGTATTCAGACCCTTTGCTTAAGTAAAAGTACTAATTCCACAATGTAGAAATACTCCATTACAAGAAAAAGTCCTCAAATCAGAGTCCTACGTAAGTAAAAGTACATTAGTGACATCCGTTTGTTGTATTTGCATCAAAAGTAAGTTATGCAATGTCATTATATTTAACATTACTACATTTTATTGCTGATGCATCAATGACAGATCACCATTTTACAGGTGGAGCTAGTTTTAACTACTTTATATACAGTTAAGCCGTGTTTTATTTTATGTAAAATTATCTCAAAAGCACTTAGGAATTATATATGTTAAATAAATGTAAGGTGGCAAAAATAGCTCTCTTTAAAGGGGGGTTAAAGTACACTGTAGAGGGTGGACTTGTATTGGCCTTTGGTGAGAGCACATTCGTTAACACCGTTTAGGTGAAGGTAAATACTTCGGAGCACAAGTACTGTACCACAAGTGCATAATCTGTCTCACCAGAGTTCCGTGGAATATGATGATGTCATTCCAGAACACAGAACGCAGACAACACTCTAAAGCTTCATTGTATCAGTCCACAAGTCAAGACCGTCTGTCACTTCTAACTGTCTTTTCAAAAACTAGTTTGATTACTAAATGTGTGAGAAGTCCAGCTTCATTGCATCTTCTAACATGAACTTTCAAGTGGTCAGAGAAAGCCAGCCCTCCTCCAAGACTTTGGACTACTTAGTTCTGGATCCTGCTCAGAGGATAACATCCAGCCAAGTGTTGCAGCATCCTTTTGCTACAATTGCTCTGGCAAAAAGAAAGTGGGCTTTTGCTGACGTTTCAGGAAGACGCAAACGCAGCCCAGACAGCACTTCCCCCGAAAGGAAGAAGAGGAAGATTACTAGAGATACACCTAGTTTAAAAAGACCGTATGGAGAAATCTGTCAAGACATCAAAATGATCCCAGAGATCTCCTGCCCTGTGATGAAGAAGAGGAGGATCCTGGAAGGCACACCTCTGTTAAAAAAGACCTTTGGAGAAATCTGTCAAGACATCGAAATGATCCCAGAGATCTCCTGCCCTGTGATGAAGAAGAGGAAGATCCTGGAAGGTACACCTCCGGTAGAAAGCTCTTCTGGTCACTGTTCCCAAGGCAGAAAAATATTCCCAAGGATCTCCTTCCCAGATCTCTCCTCTGAGAGCTCTCCTAAGAAAAAGGTGGACATGAACTCTAAGACAAGACCTAAGATTTGGATCATCGGGTCTAGTTATGTTCAACGAGGGGAGGAAGCAGCGTATCAGAACTTCGGGGAGAACTTCGGACTCAATACCAAAGTTGAGTGGTTCGGTAAAGGAGGACTGCGCTGGAGTGGCGTCCTGTCCAGTTTTTACGCCGAGTTGAAAACTCAAAGTCCCCCTGACATTTTGGTGATCCACGCCGGTGGCAACGATCTGGGGTTGTCGCCCGCCAAAGAACTTGCATCCAGAATTACAAAGGACCTGATGCAGCTCCACGCAAAGTTTCCTCAAATGAAAATAGCATATTCCTGTATCAACGAGCGTCAAGCGTGGAGATACGGACAGCCAGGGAAGGTGAATATTGACAGGAAGATCGTCAACAATAGCATCAGAAAGGCTGTTAGCAACTGTGACGGCAAAGTGATTGAACATCCCCACCTGAGAAACAACAACTGGAAAATATTTGCGGCAGATGGAGTGCACTTCACCAAAGAGGGAAATGGGATATTTGTGACCAGCATCCACAGTGTCCTGAAGAAGATCCTTCAGAAACGCCAAACACCAAGCTGTGTCTAAGGTGTATGAGTGTGAATGTTAGTGGTCAAGTGCATGCTTGTTTATCTATGTGTCATCTCTGACTAAATAAATGTGTTGCAGTGTTGCAATGCTAAAATCTATGTCTCATTTTGTACGAGTACAGTAGGGTGAAAAGCCCTTCGATTGGTAATCCTTTAAAAAGTACAAAAGACTTGCAGCTTTTTATCTGTCGAGGTCTTTTGATAAAAGCTCTTTTGTATTTGGGTCAAGCTCTGGCCATCTGACTACAGAGCCCAGACAGCCTCAGTAGTCAGATGCTGTGCAGTGATTTAGTTAATGGTTTCATCAAGTTGGTTATTTGCTCGTGTCTCAGCCACTATAGAATGTTTGCATGCGAACAAAGCTGACGGCAAAAACAAAGTAAGCTGGTCTGGAATCAAAATGTACTCACATAAACTCATTTTTCAGACATAACCTGACACTTAAACACATGTACCGCACATATATAGACAGAGGGCCGTCTATACATTGTTACTTCAGCTCAGACTGCATGAAAATTTAATGATCCCCGTGAGGAAATTGGCTACACGCAGCTCATTTTGCAGTGTTAATGAGTGTTGATTTTTCTGCAGCGATTATTCCAAGTTAATTGGAGAACTGTTTGTCCGCTTTTAGGGCTGACACAGCTCTGAGCGACTGCTCCAAAATATTGCAAAATGCTGATTTAGTTGTGCAACTGTGGAAAAATACTTTTTTTATTGTACAAGCCATGTAAAGGATTTCCCCCAATACATTTATTTAACTTTAAAAAAGGAGAGGTGCATTTGACGTGGGAAAAGGAAGAGTTCACCTCAAGATTGGATGCAGTTTGACACATCCAGTACTTTAAAGGACACAACAGTGAGCCCTTTACACAACACGGGGCTGCATACTGTCACAGCATCACTGCTGACTCTGCCTCACTCCGCCTGGACATCTCCTTACATCTCTCCAGAGCAGCACGGAGACAGGACGGGAACACACAGCCCTCCTTGTTTCAGCCTCGCCACGTTCACGGCACGCCTCGGGGGGACAAGCGGAGCCACATCGGGGGCCCCGCGGCTGTCACCTCGTGATGTCTGGAAACACGGCCAGCCCTGCCAGGTCGATGCAAAGCCATGCCAGGCGATGTCTTGTACCAGCTGGGGGGCTACCGGACAATTCGCCACGGTTTATTGTGTGCTGTCACCAACTGTTTCTCTCTTATCAAGCGACACCAACCACAGACCTCTGCGTCTTATTTCTTCCTGCCGTGTCTAATCATAGCCCGGCAGTTTGGTTTATCCAGGCTGCATCTGTGATATCCGTGAAATGTTCGGCCTAGTTCCGCCGCTGCGACACATTTCTGCTCTTTAAATCGCCATCTTATAGCGTGAATTCACACTTCAAGACTTTATAAAAAAGGCAGCTTAACATTTTCAAGGTCGATTTTGCTGCAAGGAGTTTACGAATATCTGTCAATGAGACACGTCTGACAAAGCAGAAAACTTTGCAGCCACAACATTAATTACGTAGGTTTACTAGTTCGTTCCAGAGGCACTCAACAATCATACAGAGAGAAAGCATCAGAGGAAAAGCAGAGACACCAGTTACAGTACTACTCCCACAATAGACCTGATTAGCATGCTTCCTGCTTTTGTTTTGCCATCTCTCTTGCTCTCTTCTCCTACACATGTAACCCATAGATGGATTAAAACACTCTATGTCTCTTTATGAGCCCTAAACGCCCACTTTTAATGGAGAGCAACAAGTAGTGCTCATTCTCAGAGGGCTGTCAAAAGGCATTCTGGGAGCCGGGGGAAGTCACTAAATAGATGAGGCAGGTGGAGGCAAACTCGGTTCACTAAGAGAGTAAAGAACTCTCTTAATGCGATCTGAAACTATCAGAGGGTGGATTCTCCTCTTTGATTCCCACAAGAGGAATCAGCTTGCTGTTCCACCACAGTGACTTCGCTGCAGACCGCTAACATGACACGCAACCTTGAGCGTCCATGATCTTGAGTCAACAAGGCTGCAACAACAGACCATCATGAGCTCTCTCTCTCTCTCTCTCTTTTCCGAAAATATGTCAGCGAGCATGCATTCAAATCGGGGCGGATGTCAAACAGCAACAGTTTTGCGCCTCAGATATCGTCAGGGGACGGGCAGCGGTGACATAACTGGATTGACGGAGTCGGTTTAACCTTCCGACCCTGCAGAGGCGAACCTCTTACAGGACAAGCGACCACACAGCATCAATCATCCGTATCGACATTCGGTAAATTTACTAGTCCGACGCATGTGGTGTTTCTGGCCCTAATAGCCGAAATCAATCCAAGTGTGGAGAGCGCTGACTTGGCCCAGTTGTTGTTGTTTTATTGTGCTCCCCCCCCCCTCTCTATCCTGGGAGGGGTTTTGCTGAGCCTGCATGTTCTTTTTCAGCAGCACCATGCGTCACATTCAGAGGGACCCTGCTCTTACACCTGGGAGCTGCACAACAACAGTCTGCTGTCGGCCACGGGAGACAAACAAGTCCTGTTGTCTGACATCGAGAGCTGTTGTCTCTACATCTAATCAATCTCACAGTGTTTCCTCAAGACGTGACACAATTAAACTGCACACTGTCACTGCGTAGGTTTCAGGTTTCCAAGTCGCCACATATCTCCAGCTCTGGTATTTCCCTGCTCGCGTCTCTCACTCTCCCACTTTTAATGGGCTAAATGAGAGCAAAGTGGGAAAGCGTCAGGGCCCGAGCACAATGGCAGGCCGAAAGTGATGTGCTCCATTCAGCATGTCTAATTTGACATTTCTGTGGCGGAACTGCAGGCGGAAGATTTGACGCTTGAGCAGCGCTGCCGCTTGCGTCTCAACACAGAGAAAGGTAAAGCTGCTTGATTATATTTTCTGTTCGCAGCTTGTAAGTAAAACAATTGCAATCATGCTGTACGTTGTTAGCTGTTCATCCATTTCTCGCCGTCCTGTTATCAACATGCGCCGTCTGATTAGAGAAATCAGGCCTTGTATCTGGTGATGAATTAAGCTTCTCTATGAATACTACCTATGAATGAATGTTCTCATCATTGAGGCGAGAGCTACAACACATGCATCTCCATCACTGCAAGGCAATGCATGTGCAGGGAAATGATGCAGCAGTCACGGATCCTCATGTGTGAAATGAGTGAGTTTCCAGCAGCAGGCAGAGCTTTTGAGGCATTAAGTATGATCAAGGGGTGACGAAGCAGCTCCTGCTGTGCTCAAGGAAAACCAAAGCAACACGAAGGAAGCCAAGCAGCCTTAACTCCACATCAGTTGAGACTTAGAGCAATCTGAGGATGGCGTTTTTTCCCCTGATAGCTCCAAAGAGATTGCAGATTAAAAGTAAGAGCAGATTCTCTTTTCTTGGACATCATACGCCTTTAAATAGCAGTGCGCCTGATTCAGAGTCACACACCCAGCGTTGAGAACATGGCCACCGTCCAGACATAATTAAGAGCAAAAGAACAGACATGCTCCCATGTTGACGGGACAGAAGCAGCATAAAAATAACAGCGGGGAAAGGAGACAGACGGAGAGAGACGGAGACAGACGGAGACAGACGGCGGCTGCGTTCACACTGCAGCTGCAACGTGTCTCTGTACATGTAACACGCTTCTGATGTTTTTCAAAGGGCGTCAAAAAGTCAATGGCAGGAGAAACAGATCTGACTGTCACTTCGTATCAACATTCAGCACTGAAAATATGTCAGTGACACATTAATTACATTTCACATCATTTCACCAGAGACTACTGGTGAAACTCGCACATTGCCCGACCAGCGATAGCGAGGAACGACAAGTTCAAATACTGGAGTTGACTATTTTGAGCGTCCGTTTAGAGAGAAGCAGCAGACAAAAGTGTAACTGAAATGTGTGAAAGGGAACGGGTACAAAACACGCTGTCAGTTCTTATAAAGGCCTATTCTCACAGGATGAACAGTAATATTGAATGTTATTATATTGTTTTGTATTTCCTCACACTTCTTTCATCCTTTTTGGGGTGCCGAATTATGGGAATCCTGGGAAATTAATATTGAGAGTTTTAATAGAATTTGGGGTGCAAATTCGGGAGGCTCAGCATAGCATGGAGACCTATTATAATGTAGTCTCATCTGGAGATAATCCGCAGGATTTGCTCAGTAAATTCGAGTGAATCACAGACTTCATTTATCCCGTGAGCAGGGGCGGGGCCAGACGGGTGGTGCTCCCCCCTACTAGAATCAGAACAAGGTGACAGTATCATGGATGGATCACTGAACAGGCCTACTGGGTCCAGGCCCAGGGTCCACGCACCAGAAACTCTGTATGAAGTGACTATAAATAGATGCTAAATGACCACAAAGATATTCAAAACAGCCGAAAGGAGGAGCAGAGCAACCATGGTGAGACGCAAAATGACCACAAAGAGCCAAAAGAGACGCAAGTGACTGCAAAGAGACATAAAATGACCACAATCAACGTGCCACGTTTTGTGTCTCATTCAGTCTGGGTCCTGCTGTTACATAGGTGGGTTGGGGGCCTTTTACATGTCTGTATTCAGGGGCCCGTTGCCTTACTGTACACTATTTGGAGATAGAGACAGCAGCTATTTATTAATACTATTTTAAATACTGTAACTATCAATTATGTTATTATTAAACAAATTTTCCTTAAATGAAACGAGTATGTGTGTGCAGTGAGGTTTCCGGACAATTTTAGTCGAACGAAAACAGGACACATGGGTTACATCCTGGAGTAGATAAGATCATTAGTCCAGATATGAGCTCCAGACAAAAAGAAGGAGGGCTATCAGCCACAAAACTAGATCACAAGTGAATGAATTTGTTAGTAGTGGTGAGAGAATAAAGCACACACAACAACAAGGGTGTGACTGCAGCATCTTCTGCCTCCTACCTGCTCTTTGACAGAAGCCAGGAGGTTGGTGGTGGTGCTGCTGGCGTTCGGCAGGAGGCCGTGACCGCTCGGCCCCTCTCTGACCGCCATGGGCCCTTCCCCCTCCTCCATCTCCTCCACCTCCCCGCGATAGTCCAGAGCAGGCTGGCTGCTGAGGCGCCCTCTCTGACCCTGCAGAAGGACTACAAGCCGGTTAGGATGTGGACAAGGAGCATACACAGTCAACAGAAAGTCCCTGTCATGACCCCCGGGGGCCACTGAGCGGGTCAACATGCAGGTTTACAGGGATCGTTGTGTTTCACCTGCTATAATAATCCTGCAGGGACTCTCAGTGGATTTATGGTGACCTCGTGGCATAACCATAATATTCCCTACAATACCTCAATGGGGACTAACAGTGTGGTTGCTTTTTATGCAGCGATAGTACAAATCCCTGTAGTGATTCATAATAATAATATCATAATGCTTTCCCTTATTTTAATCTCCAGTGGGGATTTAACCCTCACTGACTCATGTTATTGTATACTTCCCCTCAAAGCAGTAGTGTTACCTTAAAAGGTTATGCATTGCATGTGCAGGTGAGCATGCACGCTGCACAGAAGGCATTTAACAGCATGCCACGTTCAGGATTTATTTTTTTCTCCTCCACATAAGAGCGATCCTCGATGAGCCTTTTTTTAATCACATGCTACACGCAGCCTCTCTGTCAAACGTGCACATCAATCACTCAAACGCCATCCGGTGGGCCAAGGACGAGGTCACACCGACTCACCGGACCGGAGAGCGCGCCTGCACTGAAGACGAGCCTCCCTCTCCGTTTCCGTGCCTGGCTTCACACAAGCAGAGCTTGCCCGCCCGCCTGGCAAGCGGCTGCGGCTGTCAGTGCGACTCACCGGCCAGATGTTGCTGTTAGAAGCAGGCCACAGCTGGCTCAATCCGTCCTGTTACGCATCCATCCTCCTCCTGCAGGCGGCCGTGACAGCTACTACATTTCCCACGCGCCGTCACGACAAAATAAACAAAAACAAACCAGTCCCGTCCGCGTCCACACACTCCTCGCGCAATATATAGTGTATTGTTTTTCTTCTTCTTTCCTTTTATCCGGTGTGAGGTTCCAATGCACCCGTCTGCCCCTGACGTCCGCGCGGTACCCAGTCACCCGCCCACCAACCCGCCCAGCAACTATTACCGATCAGCGGCGTGACGTCACCATGCGGCTGTGGATCGGTTTCCGATACGGGAATCGATCCGGGAGCCGATGCGCCGTTCCACGCGTGGCTGATGGTGTTGCGGCTGCAGAAAGCCCGTGTTGCACAAGTGCGATGCAGCGCTGCTGGAGAGAGGAGGGATGCAGCCTGCAGCGGACACCGTGCGTGTGTGCGTGCACGTGTGTTCTCTCCTTTACGCAAGTGCTGTAGGCCTGACTGGTCCTTATGGGACTCACAAAGGATGGTTAACGAGTAAAAGTGTATGAAGTGCGTCATTGTAAATGATGCAATCCAATGCATGGACGCACATAACGGAAAAGACTAATTAACATCATGATACATTGTATTTTGCATTCTTCCTGTTTTTGCATTTTTGGGTTTGTAAAGCACTTTGAGCTGCATTGTGTATAAACACCGATATTAGATAAAGTATTATTAAAACTGCATTATGTTTTTGGTATTAGGTCAAGATATTAGATACGTTATGTCATTTTCAGCCAAACTCTGAATATTATTTTATTGTGGCAGGAACAGCACATCACTATAAGAGCAACAGAGGTTGCTAAGCTAATTTGCATATTTGCTGTCCCTGCAGGTTATAGCCTAAAATCAACCATATGACAATAAATATCAGTGTGAGACAATTCAAACGTGTTAAGTGAGGTCACAGCGATCTTCCACCTCGAAAATCTAATAAATGAATCCTTGAGTACAGGTGGACTCCCGTCTTCCTGAAATGTGACGTCTGGTTAAAGAAAAACAGTAGACGAGTACATGCACATGCCCATTTATTGAAATGATAATTAAGAGTCTGTGTGCTGTCATCAAGATTAGCGGGGTCTTACATTGAGTTGTGTCTTCAAACACGTGAGGGATCTTCTGTTTAAAAGCTGCCTTCTTCAGTCTCTTCTGGTACATTTGCATTTAAAATTGAACCATTTACAGACAGCAAACAGTTCATGAAAAATAAACCTGTTCTTCAAAGCAAACAATATCAGAAACATACATTTGTCATTCCTTCTACTGCAAAATAAAACCCAGCGTCCATATACAGATCGATGATGCATCACTGCTGTGACGGCCCTAAGCGGGACAGCAGTGTTGAACATGACAGCAGTGTTGAACATGACACGTCTCTTGTCAGTTTTTCAGCAAGTTTGTTTCAAATGACAGTCTGCTACTGCGGCATCACTTTAGAGACGCAGGTGATGAATGTGTTGGATTTACGAGTGCAAACTCGGAGCTTAAACCTTGCTGTTAACACCCAAATAAATTATTCCTATCCTTTTCATTTTTAAGAGATTTTTCTCCGCCTGACAAATGTCCCTGTAGGATTAGGATTTTACTGTCACCGTTAGGTTCACGGTCACGGCTATTAAAAAGAAAAGTACACCGTTAAATGACACAAAGCTGAACTGTCTATCAAATAAAAACAAATTCAATTTTGAGATATCCTGACAGTCAAACTACTTCAAGCCGAGGACAAAGAGGTGGAGTCACTTCCCGTCTCCTCCGTCCATGAAGCTTTCCTATCGTCAGTCTGCACCTAAACAAAAGACTCCTACACTTAACTTGATTTAAGGCAAATAAAGCAACTTGTTTTTGAAAAACAAAAGGGTATGAAAGACCTTATTAGTGCCACATGAGTGGAATTTCAAACCGGTTTCATACTGGATCAGGTGTCAAAGTACAGAGGAAACCAGTAGGGCCCATGTGGCCTTGAAAGCTGTCTAATCACATTTTTTCCAGTACTTTCCAGCAGAATATAACAGTAACTCGTAGAGACATAATCAATTAAATGAATGCAAACTGGACGCTTATACGCAGCAGAAAATGGATGGATGTATTCACCAATTAAGCTTAATTAAGTTGTCGGCAAAATCAATATTTGCACATTATGTAACGAGGAGCAACACAGACAGTGTTTGCTACAAATGAAATTAACTTTCGTAATAAATTTATGTTACCGAGTAAAATGTAAAGATTTGAAAGAATAAATACGCAGAAGTCTCTGATTGACAGACGACAGAAGAGAGAATATCCATCGACCTGCAGCAAATGCCTTTCCAGGTTTGAAGTTATCAAACGGACAAAGTGGCGGTGAGATGGAGGGTTTGTTGTGATCAGGCTGTGCACTAACACTAACTTCTCCTACTGATGTCTACAAATTAAAACACACACTGCATGAGCAGGGACTAACTGCTTGGTTGGCATATTGAGAACTCACTTTGTAAAACTCGTCCGCCTTAATCTTCACAGGGAATTACGCTGGACTTGACTTTCAGCTCGGCATTTTGCTGAAGGTGGCCCCTATATTTCCCAGAACACTTTATCTGTTGTTGCATGAGTGTTGGGTTTATAAGGCTGAATGGGAACGCAATAACATAAACAGTGGAGGGCTTAAACATACAGAATAGACCTCATTTAGTTCTATCACGAGCAAGTTTCTAACATACAACACTTGGCAGTGTTTATTTACTGTTGAGCTTCCTAATAATGAAGAAATTGAACTTGCAGCTCCCGATAGCATCAAAACTTCTGGAAACTAACTTTAGATTTCGTTAAACATGAGGTATTTTTCTTCTTGGACGAAAAGCAGCATAAAAATGCAGCTTGCACAATCAAACGACGCACGTTTCTCGATGTTAGATCTCAAAAACAACAGATTTGTGGGCGAGTAGTAGAGGAGGGCAACCTTTTGCAGAGCAGCAACCTAACGAAATCATCTTTGGCCCCGTTTAGCCACACAAACTATCAGAATGCATTTTGGCATGTGGTCACAGCTGCAGGGAGGCCGTCTCAACCAATGATCGTTTCCACCCCGCAGCCGGAAAACACACAAACCTCCAACATCCCTTCAGAGAGCAGGAGCCCTTGATCCAAACAAATAATAATTCACGTCACTGGAACCACATTTCATGAGCACAAACACTTTAAATTCACTAACTCGATCTTCATACAACCAGGGAGGGAAACTAACACCAGACACCAGTTGAATTTAAGCTTTAGCTCCACTTTGGGTTCAAAATCAAACTGATTTCTCACTCAACCAGCTTCTTTGGACCCAAAATCAGTTAGTTTCCTGCCCTTAGCACAACTCGTCTTTCAAATCGAGGAACGTCAATACAGAAATTAAAAAAAACACTGCGAGCACCAACAACACAACAAAATCTGCGTGAACTCTTTTTACAAATGAAAGCAAATAAATAGAGGACAGTACCTTTGCATAAACATGAGTACAAAACCTAACAGTCAGTGGATGTACAATAAATGCGAGTGAATCCGAGGGGGGTTCGGAGTAGTGTGTTCGTAGATTTGTAGGAACCACGAACCAGTGTTAGAACGAACCCCCTTTCCCTCAAAACCAGAACGTCAGCGCACTACTCCAGGTCTTCCACATCCTCCGTCATGATGGTGCTGGTCTGTTCTGAGGTCACACCTGGAGAGCAAAGCAAACGTCAGCATCCGAGGCCAACGTCAGCATCCGAGGCCAACGTCAGCATCCGAGGCCAACGTCAGCATCCGAGGCCAACGTCAGCATCCGAGGCCAACAGACTGAAAAACCCTCGCTCTTACTAAAACACTTCCCCGCAGTTCTTACTTCATAAACCCCAAAAGAAAACAATATCGTACTTGAAGTATCATCGTCGTCATTGGGAGACTTCTTCTTGTCAACATAGCCATGACTCAGCAGCTTGGACATGCTGACCGGGACAGCCTTCTTCTCATAACACCTGAAGGCGAAGGAGAGACGTCATTAGAACGTCCATGATGCCGAGAAAAATAAACTGGAGTCTCACAATAAAGATTCATACTCACGTTCTCTTGTATTTGTTGGTCATGGACAGACCTTCCATCTCATTGGCAACTCCATCAGGAGACATCTGTGGGATGGAAAAGTTACCCAGATCTATGCTTATTTGTGAAGCACTTAACGGCAGTTACAAGCTGAATGTAGCAGCCGCTTTAGGCTAATAAATGTGGGCAGTTCTACACAGATTCACTTTATTGACAAATATACAAGCTGACGAGCAAGTTGAACACATCGTGGTGACAGAGCGAAGGATGGAGTGATGGAGGATGCAATTTATCATGCGATGGAAAAGGATTAAGGGAACTGGCATGAACAGAAAACAGCCTTATCCCAACAGCAAATATTTCATATTCACTTATTTCGCTCAAGCCATTCTCCTACACGTACCTTGTGTAAAACTACCAAATTGTACTTCAATATGAACACTGTCCTATAAATGTGTGTGTGTGTGTGTGTGTGAGTGAGTGAGTGAGTGAGAGAGAGAGAGATATACACACACACACACACACATCAAAAGAAACAGGGCTATTCTCTCTAGCTGAAACCTTGATAACACTACAAAGACACATTTTTAAAACACACACCAAGTATATTTTATCCTTTCAATACATCACTCTGTACTTACCTGAAACCTTTTAGAAATATTTCCACAAAGCTACCACACAGCCAAAGCACGGGCAGCAAATGAAACCCAAATGAATTTGAACCAAACTGCAAATGCGACGATGGAGCAAAATTAGGTGAAAAAAGGGGGAAAGGTGGTGGTAAAAAATGTCAAATAAATTAAATTAAAAAAAGGATGGAAGACATCGACACGGTATAAATGTTTGGGGGTGACTAGTCTGGTCCATTCACCTCTTTATCAGGGGAAATTATATCATCTCTTTCCCAGGACGAACTGTTATCAGTCCCAAACGGTGCAGCCAGAAGGCGAGCAGCCTTCATCACGCTGTCGGGAGACGTTGGTTTGCTTCCGCTGTAAGCACAAAACCACGGTGACATACGATGTGAAGTTACTGCCGATCACATTCTGGGACATGTTGGCTGTGGCCCGAACGCTCGGTGAGCGCTTCATACGGCTCTCGGGAGGCCCGAGGAGCATTTAGAAATGTTGCGTTTCATCTTAAAAACCCAGTCGGCTGATAGAAATACTTCATCAGATTCTCTTTGATTAAAGTCAAACCCAGAGGAAGATTTTTGCTTTCATATTTACCATAAACAATATTGTTTTTAGGCTCCAGGTTTAAAAAAAAATATGGGTTGGGAAACGCACACAAACCCATCATCTCTTCGCTCATTTGTGCTCTCACCCCTTTGACTCATCTCCATACCAGTTGGGCGGATTGTAGGCCTGCATGGGTTGGTCATCGGCATCAGCATCATGACTCAGCAGCCCTGCAGGGGGGGGACACAATGCTGGAAATTAAACACTGCCAGCAATTATGAACCCTAACCCAGTCTAGTCAGCTAATAGCCTTTACAATTACTCTACTACAAAGCAAGTTTAAACTCAGTGTTTTAGACAGAACGTGTGTTATTTTATGCTGGCGTTTCAGGATTTGCATTTCAAAGAGTGTCGACACCCATTAAATAAATGTCGTTAGCTTTCCAGTCATGAGGATCTGAACAGCCTTATTACAAATGACACCGTAAACCAGCACATTTTAAAGTCAAACCTTTACCTTTGTGGCCCCCTCCCTTTGCGAGCTTGACATACTCGGAGTCTGACGCAAAGATCCCAACCCGCCTCCCGCTGTTCCTCTCCACCGGAGAGGTTTCGTCAGCAGTCTGGGACAGACCCGGGATCTGGGAGGTCGGTCCAGACGCACCACCGCTGGCCAAAACCCCGGTCTTCGTACCTGCAACTACCTGAGAATTAGGCTCCACCCGTTTGCTTTGCTCCCGCTAATTAATGCAAAGCAATATACAGCCATGATGCACTGCACGTTTTAGGGAAACACATACTGTGTTTCAGTTGCATTGCTCTTAAGAATTGTTGAATGTTTTAGAGTTACAGGTGATGGAGCCAGGAAACACTTTGCATGTCTTACCACCGGGCTTGGTCTTTCGATGGTTGGGTACTGCAGCACTCATTTCAGTCGTAGACATTTCACAATCTGATTCTTTATAGTCTGTTAATGAAACACAACATGAATTCAAGGCAACCTCACTGGTTAGTAAACATAAAATATGACTTTAGATCTAAATTAGTGACTGTGGTTTCTTTTTTAAAAATCTCAACTCAAAGCACTACTTGTTGCACAAACTATTTCTACCACACAACAGATGTCTTGTGCATTTTTTCCTTACTCATCTTCCACCAAAATGGACGGACAGGGACAGTGGCCTAAACCCATTAAGAGAAATTGAGATTTTCTTTTTTTTAATATTATTTAATTTTCAATAGTATGTGGGCCGAACATACCAAAAGACAAAACATAGCAAAAATACAGCAAGTCATTAAAAAAAAAGAAGTTTGTACTGTTAACTAATAGCAAAACCATCTTAAATCATCGATTTTTCTAATGCAGCCTGGCCTTCTGCTTCCCATAACGTTACCAGAGCGGCCCGTCTGCGACGTCAATGACGTTAAAATGATTGAGAAATAACCCTTATGTTTGCATGTGAAACAATGCATATTACAATAATTACACCTACCGCCAATTACACTTAAGTATATATATATCAATAAAAAAATGTATTTAATTCAAAAGTGAGTCCACTTTGCAGAGGATGCACACTTGCAAGCGGGCGTAAAATGTTTCGTTTGACCGTACAGACAGTGTATTGTCTGTATATAAAAACATACAATATTTAGGGACGTACAACACGCATCATTTTTATGAATGGAATAGTTTAATTTAGCATGTTAGCTAACAAAGCCATGCTAATTTCGTTAGCCGCCTAGCTAGTTGCCGCAGTGGCTTCCCACCGCTAACCTTACTTATCTCTGCAAAAATGCTAGTTTTTACGGATGCAACTGGCATTAAGGCACGCAGAAAATCAGCCACACTACTTACATTATATGCTGTTTTTCTTTTTTGCTTTGCTTGTTGCAATTATACGCCGTTAGCTCCCTCCCTTTCTGTCGGTAAAAGGCTAGACCACACACACTTCCGGTGGCACCTGCTGCCGACTTCCGGTACGCTAAACAAAGATCGTGTATATTCAACAAAAGGCTGACGTAGTTTTGTAGGCTGTGAAGTTATTGTTCGTCATCCGCACGAGGATTGTACATCAAACCGGATCTTACAAATAGGACAGAGTGAGAGCTTGTCTTGATATTCATGTTGTTACTACATACAGAGACGATCTTTGTCCTTTCAGAGGACATTATGGACCAAAAACTGTGTTAACATTTTAACGGTTACAACAGCAAATGTAATGATTAAAATATTTTATTAGCACTATCTCAACATGTCTCATATTGTTATATTGTTTCCATGACAAGCTGCATTACTGACCAATAAGCATTCATCAAATCCAAAGAATCTTTATTATGCTTGATAGATGTAATTCCATTAAACAGAATGTTTGTAATTAAAATAAACAGTATTAGTAGCATTATATAGTAGTATTATACTAACTCTGTGAAGAACAATCACTTAACATGCTCTAAATATGCTCTTATATAGCTATCAAAAGTGTTATTTTCAACATTCTTTAGGATTGTTGACATTGCTTTTCAAACAGGAATGTTTGGATACTCATTTATATTAAACAGGGTCGTCAGCACATGCAGTAAAAACCTCGGGTTAATGTGTGAGAAATCAATAAATGATAGGTTAGGAGAATACTGCCAATGCTCTCTGATTGGAGCTTGGGCTCGGCGATCACTCAGAAGTCTTTGACGCAGTCGGGGCAGAGGATGTCCTCTTTGCACGTCAGGAAACCTCGACCCACCAGAGACACACAGCACTTTTTGCAGTTGAAGCAGTCGTTGTGCCACTGCCGCTGCTCAAAAGAGATGTACTTGCTGCCTCCGAGACCTGAGAGTTAAGCAACAAAGAGGAGCCATGAGTAATGTAATAATCCTGTAATTGATGGTGATTGGATACACAGAGGCTGTGGTTACTTCTGTCTATATGTAGTTCACGTGAGAATGCTAATGTAATGAGATTTTACCTTGGTTTTATCAGTACAGGCTAGTGAAATGTTGTGATTTCACTTTACATTTAGTGATGAGAGAGAATGTTCCTGCATTTTTCATTAAACACTCCTGACACAAGTGCAGGGTCAAACTTTACCACTGATCGGGGTGGTGCAGGAGACACATTTCTTGGCAAACAGGTTGCAGAAGCAGTCCAGGCAGTAGGCGAAGTCGTCCCGAGAGGTGAACCTCTGGCCGGCCAGCTGCTGCTTGCAGCCGAGGCAAACAAAGCACTCCTTATGCCACGGCTGGTCACGGTAGTTCACTCCTCCAGTGGTGACGGGCTGAAAGATTTGTGTCATGTAGTGTTAATACCTATTGATTAAAGTATACTTAGACTGAGTGCTATTGAGACGTCTAAAAATGCTTTTGATACGTTTTTGACGAAGAAATTCTGTGTTTTCAGAGCTATGCATGAATGTATAGCTTCAAACTGTTTAATTTGTGTCATTTATGCTGTTTGTTGCTTCTTCTCATAACTGCACTAGTGATTTGGACATCCAGGTTCAAACCTTCAACCCAGTAAGCACAGAACGTAAGGTGAAAATACAAATTGATAGCAGCAAGAGACGACTACAAAACACAAATACAGTGGAAGTGGAAGTGGCTCACTGTGTGTAGTTTTACCTTCTTGCAGTGGATGCACTGCATGGCAAACTGCTTCTCATAGCAGGCCAGGCAGTAGTTGTTGGCGTCCTTCTGGATGAAGCTCCTGCTGCCAATGGGCTGCTGGCAACGGTTACAGGTGAAGCAATTCTCATGCCAACTGTTGCCCTTATGCTCCATCTTTTTGGAGCCTGGTGGGAGGGAGGGAGAAGGACAATGTACAGTAGGACCTTGTACTGACATTCGGATCAGCCTCAACCAATTACAATTTGCAATTTGCTGATGTCATGTGAGCTCTGTAAAGTGAGTGCACAGTGAAATTCAAAGGCTACTAAAGAACCCTGAGAGAAAATCCGAAAGGCCTCCTCACCTGGCATGATGGTCTTCAGGCACGCATGGCACTTGGAAGAGTACTCGCTGCTGTAGCACTCGATGCACAACGGCATGTCATCCTTGGTGGCAAAAGGCCGATCCACCAGAGATCGGTCGCACTTGAAGCAGAGGAAGCAGTCGCTGTGCCAGTGGCGGCCCTTGTATGACAGATCCTGCAGAGTCGACGAAAGGAGAGAGCGTTTGGTTTAGTTCGAAATCAGAGGGAGACTGTTGTGTTTCTGCATTTGCTTTTTTTTCTGCTCGATGGAAACATTTTAACAACTGTTAAGTTAAAACATCAGTAAAACTTCACCCTCAAACACCGAGACATGAGACCAAAACAGGGACAGCTTTGCAAACTGAGGAGCACCACCTCTGTTCAAGCCTTCATGCTGGTTGATATGCAATGTATGTTTGGTGTTGGGTGACATGAATGGTAAAATATGGGTGAGGAAAGTTAAAGAGTGACTGGGTAAAGAATGATTTGACCTTGCTGGTGCAGCTGATGAGCTTCTGGCACACTTCACAGTTGGTGGAGAAAAGATCCTCGAAGCACTTCACACAGAACGGCTTGTAGTCCTTCAGGAGGTACTTCTGCCCGTAAAGAGACTTTGTACACTCTGTACAGTCGTAGCGCTCAGCCATTGTGACTGAATCTGCTCTCTGAGTCTTCTGTCCTAAAAGATACAATACAAAGACTTTTCAGAACAGTCCTCAATGTGATGCAATTGCAGCCAAGATAAACCAACTAAACTTTAAAACTTGGATTGGATTTCTGTAAATGAGTTGACATATAATACGATAAATTAAACATCATGCCTTCATGACCCCGTACCAGGTAAAAATAAACTTAATTGATCACAAACAGTCCCCCAATTGTACACACACTTCATTAATGGACACAATGTGACTTTCAAATTTGGTTTACTTGCTCCAAAACAGACAAATCTTAAGAGGTCTTAATTTGCTCTAAATTCCCCAGAGAAAATTGAATAAGTTGAAATCATGAGTAAGAGCAAAAACAATTAGGTGGAAGAGGGGCAAAGCAATGAGGAGAAAAGGTAAAAGGGGAAAAACACTGACAAAGTAAAGGAGCAGCAGAAAAAACTCAAAAGAAACACAACATACAAGAAGAAGAAATGAAAGAAATGCTTGCATCATCATCTACTGCAGACTTTAAAAACTTTCATTCTGCTGGAAGATGATTTTGAGAGCCATTAATCGGCAAATAGCATCATTAGAGGTTTAAATATTGAAGAGGAAGCAGATTTTTTGTAAGAAAGATTGTTGCATAAAATCTTATGCAGCCTCTGAAAGTCAATTGTTGGAGGAAATCCAACTGGAAGATGATCATGCTCCTTTAGGTCATGAGTGCACATTTGATATCATCAATACATGTCTCCTAGTTATTATTACCAATGTCTTGTCACTGATTGGCTGTCTGAAGCAGCCTCACAGACAACAAACAGGAAGTTGATTTCAGGATAGCGACGGTAGAGCTCTGGCATTAACGGGAGGAAAACAGTTCTGTGTCCTTCCCCAGAATTTAAGTAATTTAATAAAGGGTGCAGCCAAAACACAAAGGCTGCTTTTGATTGGATAATTGATTAGATGAAGAGCAGTCTGACTTTTTTACATTTGTCATGAAGTCGTTAAGTGATTTTATTCATTGATAGCTTTCGAATAACTTTCATCTCAATAGTTTTTCAATCTAATATTTCTGTGACCACTATAACACTTTTTAATTCTTGACAAATATAGTATTTAATTAAGGAATGACTCTTCATCCTCTTTTTGAAAGACCTCCAAATAAGCTTCCACAAAACCTGGACTATGCTCATTATACATATGTGGATTTTATTTAAATAAAACCCCCTAAAACCCCTCATATACTCCCCTGAAAATACCTCTTCTACAAACACAGAACACCCCTTTCTGAATCCTCCGTACTCTCTATTACTTCTGAAAACCCTAATACACCTCTTAATGATCCTGAACATAAACCTCCTGTAATACTTTGCTTAACTTGCTTCTCCTGTCATCCATCTAGAAGCCTTATGCCTCTATTTTTAATGTGTATCGCTCCATCTGAAACAACTTGATGTAATTTTAAGATATAGTTTTAAAGCAGAAATCCTAATACCTGATAAAAAATACCACAAAAGTAACTAACAGAGAAAAGAAGGAAGACATGATGAAAGTGCAAAGAAACATTGGGTCAAAGACGAGACAAGAAGGTGAAGAAAGAAGTCTTACCTGTCAGAGGAAGAGCCGGGTGCAGACTGAGCCCAGAGGTGTCTTCTGAGCGCTGTCGTGCATCTGCCTTTTAAAATTAGGGTTAAATTTGACTCACACTGGGGCAGGAAGCTGAGGTAGCGTGACCAGAGTGGGCAGGCCAGATTATATTTAGACGGCTATATATTAAAGCCAAAATGCAGAAAATCCCAACAAACCCCTGCCTTGAAATGTGGGAACTTTTGAGCATGCAATCACTCATACAGGACACAACTTGTAAAATATGAATATGTGTGAAAATATGAATGTCTGCATTATCTACATATATCTACAAATTCATTTCACAGGGTTTTTATTACGTCAAAGCGGCAGGAAAACAGAACTTATGTCAGCATCAGAATAAACTTTCTTGTGACCCAAGCAGTCGAAGAGAAGAAAACCAAATAGTTCCCGTTGATCTGGATTTATGTTCATTTTGACAGTTGAGATCATAACAAATCAAATAAGCATTTCATATAAAAAGGGACCTCGATCTCTTGATTTGATTACATTTAATTCAATGATGATTAATTTCACCATTCTGTCCCTGAAGTATTAATGGTGCTGCGATTGTATCTATTTTTGCAACTTTCAAAATAAAACCTCTAATGAGAATTAGAATAGATAAATTATATAAAACTAAAAAAATCCACATTATACAATAGTTTCTAAATGTACATGACGTCTTTGTTTGTTTTAATGGTTCAAAGAAACAGCGGGTCACGTCAGAGCTAAACTGCAGCCACGTGTTAGTCCTCAGCCTAATTTCTGCAGTGAAAAATACGGAATAATCTGTCCATGTGTGACTCCAATGAGTGTCGGTATGTGCTGCAGTTGACATTTAAATAGTTCTTGAAGAATTACATTTTCTGATGGGTCATGTTTGTTTGTACCCCTGTACTCTGGAAAAAGGGCCACTTCAGAATTAAGTAAAAGAAACACGAGCTCTTACTCAGAAAGCACTGTGACATGTACAGATCATGTAAACATCTCATTAAGCTATTTGCCAAATTAACCCAATGTACCACAGCCTGAAGAAAAAAACACTGCTGAATTGAAATACAGGATTGTGAAAAGGAAAAGTCAGGACATAGTCAGGATTAGGTAATGAGATAAATGCTTTTCCAAGGAAAGCAGTTCATCAAATGTTCCTATTTGCAATTCTTCCATTATCTACTTGATTTTTTTTACAGTAAACTGACAAACAAAACTATAGGTCATCTATAATGTCAGGTATAAGTAAATAACAGCAATTTAAAGCTGTAATGGCATGAAATGTAGCTTTGCTTTTATTTTACAGCCTTGTCTTCCTTGGGTTTTGACATTAATTGGGCTGTATTTAGAAGGAGGCAGAGCTAGTGTGCTGCCTGTCGAGTTAAAGATTTAATGGAAAAAGGAAAGATTTAAAAAACATCTCCATCTGTTGCATTGCTCGCCAGATTGTGGTGCTAAATGACAGCTACTTATTTTACCTTAAAATCAATGTGTTATAAAAATGTATAAACATATTTCACTTCTGTATTTAAATTAAAGGTATCTTAATATGAAGCTTGGGTCCAAGCCTAACTATAATTTAGAATTGAAATAGTAGTTTAGGCTGGCAAAATAAGAACACAAATATTTTGTATTATTTTATTTTTTCGAAAACGAACTTCCGCCGCGGTCCATTTCCGGTTTTATTTTGAAGGTTGTAGCAGGAAGTGCTAGTTTAACAGATGTTTCTTTGACATCCGGAAAAGCTTGTAAACAAACGGGTTTCGTATTACAAAACAAGGAAGAGAGGCTAGACTTTCGCAATGAAAACAGTAAATATTTAGCTGAATAGAGAAGGAATAAAACTGCTAAATATTTCCGGTGAAGAACATGGAAGACGAAAAGCGGAACCCGGACTGGATGTCCCTTCTGCCCGAGGAGCTGCTGGACGTCCCGCTGTGGAACCTGGCTATACCCGGTAAAACAGAAACACCGGGGATATGTTGATGATCTTCTGTATGTACACTAACGACCAAAAATATATGGACAGGAGTACTTTTGGGCATATGTTTTCTCACCACAGGGAGCCATGACAGCATGTCCTTCTGCCTGGATGTCTCATCCCCCGTCCTGAGATCAGAGCCCTGCCTCCTCAGAGCGATCGACAGGCTGTTTCCCTGCTGGACTCGACCCTGTGTCTCCCGCTGGGCTACCACACAGGTAGAGGAGCACACATACTGTACTGTAATGTCATTGAGCCCCAATTTAGTCTTCAAGAGGGTTCGAAGTGGGACAACCGGGCCTCTGGTGGTGCGTTCAAGTGGTGTCAAACATTTCTAAATTGTACTCTTAAACGTACTCATTTAGCAGCAGGGATTACTATGCATGATATCATTTGATCACTACTACTTATATTAACATGTAAACTGCATTTTAATATTATGGCTGGTAGGGCCAATTCTAACTACTATATATATATATATATATATATATATATATATAATATGTATAATATGTATAAATATAAGAATACACAGTATTTGCCTCTGAAATGTGAAGTAGAAGTACTGCGTTATCTGGTTAGATGCTAAACTATATTTTGTGGAATCTAATCTTATCTAAAGTAGCTCCTCTTTCTCTTCTTCCCTGTGTGTGTGTGTGTGTGTGTGTGTGTGTGTGTGTGTGTGTGTAGCAGTCCGTCCTCAGTGATCAGTGTGAGCTTGGTGTTCGTTTCTTGGACCTGCGGATCACCAGGAAGCCAGCCGGTGGCAACAAATTGTTCTTCGCCCACGGCATCTACACACTGATGACTGTGAAGGTACACACACTCAGTCTAAAGTTTGACACACAATCCAGACATTACTGGGAAGGAATGCAACACATATACGTATGTGTGTTGTATATGTTTGTGTGTCTGCAGGAGGCCCTGGACGAACTGGCTACCTGGTTGGACGCTCATCCAAAAGAGATCGTAATCGTTTCCTGCTCGCATTTTGAATCGCTGATCGATGAAGATCACTTCCACCTTGCGGAGTACATCATCACGCTGTTCGGAAAGAAACTCTGCACCTCACAGGTAGCTGGGCCACTAGAGAGTCAGAGAATCATGTTTATGATAAATATAATCATTAAAAGGTTATTTATTAGGCCAACATGAAACATTTGCTGCATCCAGCTTCATACATGTGAGGGTTTGCTGTTTCATATCATTGTGAATTGAATGTATTTAGGTTTCAGTTTTAAAGATAGTAAAAACTTACTGTGTACATGTGTTTGTATGCAGGACATTCCCACTCTGCGCTCCTGTTGGTCCAGACGTCAGCAGGTCATTGTTTCCTATGGGAACCGGCAGATGGTGCAGCAGCACCATGAGCTGTGGACTGAAATACCTTACTGGTAAATACACAACTGGGGCGCTTTAAAGTCGTGTCTCTAATAGGTCTGCGACCACGTTTTTCTGTGGACTTCTCGTCACTGTGAGATGTAAATCAAATAACTAATTCCAACGTTAAACTGACTCCAGGTATGCAGACAGCCCAGATCCTAAGAAAGTGATTGCCTACCTGGAGGACCAGAAGAACAGAGGAAGACCAGGTACGCAGTGGTGGAGGAAATATCCAAATGACTTATCAAAATAAAAGCAAAATTACACAACATTTACAAGTAAAAGTCCTGCAGTAGAAGTAGAAATATATAAGTATGAGCAACAAAATGTACTTCAAATATCAAAAGTAAAACTATTCATCATACATGGCCCATTTTACTGGATCATTAATATTGGTGTATTAATATGTAAATGGTACTTTAATGGTGTCCAAGATGTACAACAATGCATGATGCTCTTTACTTGTTTGTTTTCCAGCTGGTTTCTACGTCAGCGGTCTGAACCTGACAGAAGACGCTCCTTACGTCCTCCTCCATCCGCTCCAGGGCATGAGGAAGATGACGATGAAGGCTCTGTCTCTGCTGCTTCTCTGGGCGGGCGAGCAGCGGCCGGGGCAGGAGGCGGACGCGGTCAACATCCTCTGCTGCGACTTTGTGGCCGTCAGTCAGTTCTGCTCGCTTGTGATTGGACTAAATTACAAACTGCTGAGTGGAGCCGGCGCGCTCGCTGCTGCTGCTCCTCCCCCTCCTAATTAGACTTTTTAACCATAAATATACAGTTTAAGTCAAAGTTTGACGCATCTTGGGCGGTGGGTGCAGCAGACTCGTTTTTGAAATAGTTTTTACTGTAATAATGGATGCAAAATGATGAAAGTCATTAACCGTATCCTTGTGTCACTGCTGAGCTTTAGTGGCGCCGTCACATTCCTCAAGAGGAGTCATGTTTTCAAGGCAGATCCACAGTAGAGCCGGCACCTTCACACAAAAACACATCGTTAGACTGAAAGGAAAGGAACAAGACGCCACAATTCTACCTCGTGTATCCATTCATTATATTCTCTTGGAAGATGCTTACCTGCTTATTTATTTTGTAGAGAGATGATGCTTTTTATTTCCCTTTGTGTTAATATAAAAGGTTAAGATATAGTGCGTCTTTTGTTCAGTTGTTCACCCAGGTGGAGTTGATGCAGAAGGACTGGATGAATAGCTACAAGCTAAGAACAAACACTCACAATTTCCACACAGGTTTATTCAATGAGAATTCACAATGTTGCTCACACAAGGAAAACAAAACAGAAAATAATACTAATCTTACTGCATTGGTTATGGCACATGAACAGGTCACTGTATTCTCCACTTTAAAACCTATGAATGAGGACATCTGTTTCACCACAGTGTTCGTAAGCTAGCTGCAGTGCATTTACTGCAGAACAAATCAAAAGCAACAGTGCGTAGACAAACATTTATGGCTGAATCCTATCCAGATATCTGTACATAAATCTGTTGACTATGTGCACAAACTTTGTACCAGAGGAAACCGTTATCAATTACACATGTTTGTGTAGGGTTTGCACATTTGCTGGATATATTTGGAAATGTTATTCTTTGTGAAAGTATTCACATCACATTATACTAGAAACGGTACTAGCACGGTTTATAAAAAATAAATATCCATTTCTTACTGCTGAAAAATAAGATTTGAAATAATCTTCCCAAGTAAGACAGTTGCAAAAATACAAAAAGGCGATTACTCGGGTGTTATGGGTTACAGATATCAGTGTTGGAAAATAAAAGAAGTTCAAAAAAAACATACATTTCATATACAATAACTAGTGTTTATGTTGCTCCTGGATGCTGAAATGTGTTGATGACTGCACCGATACTCAGAGTATTTCAATTACTCCATTTTCAACTCCAGCACCGACAAATACTGTATATAAAAAGGTGCTAGAGTTGTAAATGTGCTGTGTTAATTGTGGTAGTTCAGACGTAACTTCTACGTAGGATCACAGTGGTATATCCCTCTCTCAGATAAATTTACTTTCTGGACATATGGACAAGAATGAGAGGGTTTGCTGTTGTGTGACAAATCTTGACGGAGATATTCCGTATTCCTTTTTCAGATGTTTTGGGGGAAAAACACATGCACATTGGCTCTGTGACTTCAATGGAATGGTCATAAACGAGAGGCCCAAACTGGGGGAATCCAGCACCTGTGACCTGTTACTTTGTAAATCCATTCACCACGCTGTAAACAGTTTTTGGAACTACTTTCTACAAAGAAAATAGTCCCTATGAAATCAGTCTGTGTGTTCTGTTAATTACCCAGAGTAATCAGGACATTGTCTCTAAATCTCAACACCTTACTAGCTAGCACTAAGCACGCCAATTTGAATATTTATATCAACGTTATAGCGACTGCTAGCTGACAAGTCACAAACAGCAAATGAATGAACCATTCACAGACAACAAATATGGCTGCCGGAGTGTTACTGGGTGTCATCTGAGCTTAACTTAGGTTCAATAAGTGGGATGATCCTGTTTAGCACCATTACAAGGGGCTAACACACAAACTATTTATTCATAAGAAAAAAATACTTATTTACAATAGATAGAAAAGTGTGTGTGGACAAAAGCACGACTTCATCCGGTGTCGTGTGTGTGTGCGCGTGTGCGTCTATCTCTTGGCGTGGCTGACGTAGCTGTTCTCGATGCACAGCACGACGTAGGAGCTGGAGCAGCTGCTGGTGCTCTGCTGGAGCAGACTGCCGCTCTGCAGCGACGACGCCATGCCGGTTACCGCCCGGTTGCCCACGCGCCACATCTCGCACAAGCTGTCGACGTGGCCCAACCCGGCGCCGGTTGACCCGTGCCACACCATCTTCTCTGGCCTGGCATTAATAGAGAAGAAGTAGCATGAATTTAGAACGTTTTAGGGACTTTTTAACGCTTACTTTTGTGATTTTTCTTACGATTGTGTCATACATTCATAGGTCATTTGGCTCACCATGTGCTGTCATTAAGAACATCTTTGCCATCAAAGGAGTAGATCGGCACGTTGTCCTTCATTCTGCCGTCATTGAAGACAGCGTCCCAGTTGTCAAACAGAACCTCGTCCTGACAAAGATGAGAAAATTTGTGGAAAACAACTTTTAGGCAGATATTGTTGCCTTTGGACAGACCCAGGCTAGCTGTTTCCCCCCGTTTACAGTATTTTGTGCTAAGCTAAGCTAACCAACTGCTGGTTGCAGCTTCACATACACTTTAAACTATTCCTTTAAATGGTCGCATAAACACCTTCAGGTTCACTATTGGCATTCGGTCCCTGTCGGCCTTGCGGACGATGCTGTGCAGATCCTGGAGTTTGGCGGACAGGAAGGCCCGGAAAGTCCCCTTCATCCCGATGGCCTGAGCCTGAGTGAAGCACATGTAGTCTGCACCGCGGATGCTCCGCATGGAGCCGGTCTGAGGGCTGTTCAGGGCGATGAGGTGGAGCTGTGGGAACACCATTATGCTTAATTGTAATATTCTATTTTACAGTAAAACCTCATATGTGCTGCTTTTAAAGTGGTATCTCTCACCCCTGGACCCGAGGTGTGATGGTGGACCGGAGTCTCGTGCACAGGAGGTGGTGGTCTTCGTTGGGGAGTGACTGGGTAACGAGTGTCCGGGTAGGCGGGACGTTCCTGGGCCGTATTCACAGAAAACCTACCGTCTGGTTGGTTTATCCGGTCGGAGTAACTTGGAAACCTCGGATCTGTTGGAGCTGGGAACCGTGGATCCGGCTGATATCGTGTGTCAGGTTGGTGTTGGGGATCAGAGTGGGTCGGATATCTGGGGTCAGGGTTTGACGGGTATCTGGGGTCAGGGTTTGACGGGTATCTGGGGTCTGGTTGATGCTGGTCCGGGTGATGCTGGTCCGGGTGATGCTGGTCCGGGTGACGCGAGTCCGGGTGACGTGAGTCCGGGTGACGCGGGTCCGGGTGACGCGGGTCCGGGTGACGCTGGTCCGGGTGACGCTGGTCCGGGTGACGCTGGTCCGGGTGATGCGGGTCCGGGTGCGACTGATGCCCAGAGTCGCCGTGGCCCGGACTCTCAGGTGGCCTTTGGGAGTCGTGTGCAATGGTGTCGGTGTTGGAGTGGTGGTCTGGGTAATAGGGGACGACTGGTGGGGGCTCCACGGCTGCTACCTCATTACCCTGAAGATAAAGAGCATCATATGTATTAAAACATGACACATTATACGTTCTGAAGAAGAGAAAAAAGGAAAAATGACACTCACGTCCTCACTGGGCAAAGCAATGTAGCTCCCGAGCTGAAAAAATAAACAAAACAACTCCATAAATATACATGGGAAGTATTTTTACGTCTCTCCTGCTGATTTAAAAAGGTATTTTATTACCTGGACTTGACGAACTCCATCTCGGACCCGTATGTAGAGATCTGTTTGTTCTATGACGTAGACCAGAGAGCCCTCAGGATGTCTTCTAGCGGTGGCTGTCATGGTGTCATAAGACCTCAACACCGTCACCTATAAACGCAAAACCCCTCTTAAAAGTGAACCGAGCTTTTCTCCTACAGCTATGATGACAGTGTTATTTGTATTTCATGATATATTGTTAGATAATAAGGAAATAAAGCAGAAAACAAGTTTTCTCACCCCTGATGAGTATCCAGGTTGTCCAGGCACTCCAGGCGGTCCCGGAGGTCCAGGAATATTGATGGCTGTCATTCAAAAAGAGGAGGACGGAAATCAGACTCAAGGCCTTAATAAATCACCTTTTGCAATAGTTGTGACACTTCTTTCAATTCATGGTTTGGATAGATACTATAACTAAACAAACGCCCCCAGTGAGTAAAGGCCTTTAATGGTGAATATCTGAGTGACTTTATGATTATGACTCACTCTGTGTGCCCCTGTGTGCTCCAGGTAAGGATCCCGGAGGTCCGGGCGGCCCTGGTGGTCCAGGTTGTCCATCATAGCCTCTTCCTGGTTGACCAAGTGGCCCCTGAGGGCCTGGTGGACCAATGATGGATTCGCCTCTTGGGCCCTGATGGAACAAGGACAGAAAAGTGTTTTAGATTTGGACTTATTTGAGCAGACAGCTTTATGTTTTTGACAGTGGGATCTTACCGGAGGTCCAGGCACTCCTGGGACTCCGACTCCATTCCCTCCGTAGCGGTGGTCGTAATATCCTCCAGCCGGTTCTCCTTTCTCTCCTTTGTAGCCCGGTAAGCCTGGGTCACCTTTGAACTCATTCTGGACACATAAACATCCAAGACATATCAATAAAAATCATACTGAGGCTAATAATTTAACCACAGACTTCAGAGTGGAATCTTACCCTTAAAGTGTAAATGTCAGCGGTTGATCCGGCACCTGGATCAGAAACAAAATGACTCGCTTTGAATTTGTCTAAAAACATTTTCAGCTTTTCCTGCACATATTAGCACAGACGAAGAGGCGCTACCTGTAATGTCAAGTGTCCCTGGTGGTCCTCGATCACCTTTCTCTCCTTTAAAAGCTACAAACAAGAGGAACAGCAACAAAGTGTTAACAGGCTAGCTGTTTCCAGTCTTTATGCTAAGCTAAGCTAAGCTTTATATCGAACAGACAGACGTGAGAGTGGCATCAATAAGCATCAAACTATTCCTTTGTGAAGTGGGTTTACCTGGGTGATGCCTGGAATGATCCTCAAATGGCTGAAATAAAAACAAAGACGATCGTTCATAAGAAGCAACATTTGGGGCGGTTTTACATCTTATTACTTTTAATATATGAACATTTAGTCTTTTATTTACTGGACATAAATAAAATAAATCCTCACTGCGATGAGGTCTGTGGTAACAGCAGGTCCTGGAGGTCCAGGGGGGCCCGGTGGACCTGGAGGACCCTGGGACACAACAACAAATATTGATTACTGTGTGCTGATGGCCTGAAGATAAAAGCTCAAAAGCGAATGAGACTGAAATTCAAGCTCAGTGGACTTTTAAATAAGACAAATCTGCGATACTCACAGCGTAACCTGATCCATATCCAGTGCCCGAGTCTCCCTTCTCGCCTCTGCCGCCGTTCAGCCCCGGTCGACCCTGTGATATAAAAACACATATTGACATCAAATATGAACAAGATTAAAGCCCCTATGTGTATAAATTAAACATATCTGACTCAGTGGACTCCTACTGGTAATGTAGCAGGAAATCTACTTACAGGTCTACCTGGTATCCCAATCTCTCCCTTCTGTCCTGAAGAACCAGAAGGACCCTGGAGAAAAAGAAAAGAACCGCACAGGTTTATTATACTGATTCAATGCTGTTAGTTATTGTACGACATATCAGCAAAACACTCAAAATGTGGTAAATAAAAATATGGCACGCACTGTAGGTCCCTCAGGGCCAGGGGGTCCTCCATCGCCCTGTAAATGAATACATGAACACACTGTAAAAACTGGCGTTTCAGGCAATTAATCACTTAATTAGATGCTTAAATTCCTGGATCTCAAAGAGAACAAGCAGGACAGAAAGAAAGATAGATGCAACATGACATGTAATTTGCGCTGTGATGCAGACATGTGGTGAATGCATCCTCGTAGCTCGATATCCGGTCATTCATAAAAGGTTTTTACCGGCCGTCCTGCCAGACCCCCGATGTACTGAGGTCTCCCATCAGGCCCCATGATGAGACCAGGCTCTCCTTTCTCCCCCTGAACAAAACAACATGTTAAACTCAAACCGGCGCTGGAACTAAATGAGATAGATCGCACAAAAAGGAAAACAAAAAAAGGTAATTTTCTGAAAAGAACTACTGCATAAAAAAAAAAATCATTCAGCATATTTTAGAGTATGAAATGCTAAATAAAATATAGATTATCTTACTTTAGGTGCATATCCTGGAGGACCTGAGTCTCCCTTGTCTCCTTTTGGTCCTGAGGGTCCCTGAATAAAAACACATAATACACTGACTTCAGTCCATTTTGCCATTGATTTTCCAATCTGTGTGATATTGATAACGATACTTACTGGGAATCCTGCTCGACCAGGAACACCATTCCCTCCCTAAAGAAAAGAGAGTGATAAGACATGAAGAAGGAGAACAAATAATCTGCCAATGTGTTAAAACAACTTTAGTTTGGTTTAGCTTTCTGGTGAGTCAGTTAGGGAACAACTCACCTGCAACCCTTCGCTCCAATAAACGTCATTATACTACAGCAAGACAAAGTTAGGTCAGTTAGTGTGGAGGTGAACAAACAGCTATGCAGGCAGTGACTGTTAGTGAAGATGAGTAACTCAAATATGAAGTGATGGCAGGCTTTCATGTGGGGGTTAAGTTCATTCTTCATACGTCATGGACCTCTGACTCACATCGCTTGTCTGGTAGGTGGCTTGTCCTGGAGGACCGGGAGGCCCTGGAGGTCCAGGAAGCCCTCCATCTCTCCCTGGCAGACCCTGCCACAAAAACAAAAATCATCCATAAGAAGAGCATATTGACGTCGACATACAGTGAGAAGATGAAAATGTACCTCTGAGATGTAGTGTAGTAGAAGTATAACTGAGCATAAATTAGAAATACTCAAGTAAAGTACAAGTACCGTAAGTTTGTACCTACGTAATGTACTTGGTGACATTCCACCATTGGTTTTATTTATATATATATATATATATATATATATATATATATATATTTATATTTATATATATATATATATATATATATATTCATTGCATGCAGACCAAGAGATGACAGCTAAACAAATATATTAGCATACAAACAATCCACATGTTTGAAATATTTTGCACGTGACTCACCGGCTCTCCTCTCTGTCCACCGTCTCCCTTTGCACCCTAAAAATATAAAACCACAATATGTGCAATCATGTCTACTATGTTACACTGTTCACAAAAACAACAACTCCCAGAATTCATCTGGCCTCATACCGGCTGTCCTGTGAACCCGCCGATACCTGGAATCCCAGGAGCTCCACTTGGTCCCTCTGTTCCTTTGTCTCCATGATTACCTGGCAAACCTGGCCTACCCTGGAAATCATGATAAAACATTATGAATACCAATACTATCCCTCCATTGATAACAACAACAGCAGCTATATTTGTGCTGTATAATTGACTCTGCAGTACTTACAGGTAGACCTGCGATACCAGACGGACCCTGGAAGACAGAACACAGAGAAACATGAGGCAGGGCGTCTTCTGCAAAGAGGAGGTTTAACGTTTAGGTGATCGGGTACCTGAGGTCCAGGTGGGCCATCGAGTCCGGGAAAGCCATTGTTTATCTCGTATTCATCCTGGTTACTCTGTAAGGAGAGAGGAGAGGTAATGATACGGTATAATCTTAGTATTAGTACGTGGTTCCGTTCTCGTACTGGCTTACTTTCTATACGTTTGTATGGATTAATTATGACAAGAGCAGTTACATATTCTGTGTGTGGATTCAGGACTAAAACTGTGCAGAAATATGCATCATAAAGCCACACATACGGCTCACTCTGTTTAATAAATCTCAACCATTGTGGAGCTGGGTGCAAGTTCACGAGCCTCATTTCCAAACCACCAGAAGTGGATGTAGTAGAAATGCCTTTAAATATAAGTTTGATGGCTCAAATGTAAATAAAAAGAATGACGCAGCACTCATAAAACTGTGTGTGTTTCACCTCTACTCACATGACCAAAGCGGCTCGGTGGCCCTGGTGGGCCAGGGGGTCCTGCAGGTCCAACTGGTCCCATGGGACCTGGAAGCCCTGCCAGCCCAGACTGCCCAGAGGCACCTGGCAGTCCTAGGTCCCCCTGAGCACCCTGAGGTGAGGAAGGACAGTGTGACTCCTGCTATCAGCAGTTTAAGAGACTTTTAATGTAAGTGAGGAAAAAGAGGACATGCAAGAGACGTGTGCAGAGACGGTCCCAACAAAAAACAGACGCAGTAAGATATCACACTCAGGAGAGAGAAAGTAAGCGCCTCGTACTAGGTTGAGGAAGTTTCAGAAGGAAAGAGGACTCACTCATGGCGACGTATGTTAAGAGGTGAAATGGAAGCTGATAAAAGCTTGAGAGGATGGAAACCACCAAAGCAGAGACCCCCCCAGTACCTGCGACCCATTACACACCGTAGAGGATGGAGCAAAGTAAGAAAACAGGCCGGTGAAAAAGTTGGAATCCTGCGAGGCAACAAACATGGAGGACAGAATCTATCTGGATGCACCCGCCACAAATTCTGCATTTTCATTTCAAGTTCAAGAACAAACATTAAGATTTAACTTTGAAGTCTAAACTCACCTTTTCTCCTGATGCTCCTGGAAGACCAAGCTCACCGCCGTCACCCTGGAGGGGGAAGATGTTTGTGATGAAAAACAAAATGAAAATATTCAGCAGTTGACATCAATCGGTGCTTTTCTCACCTTCTCTCCGGATCCTGGTTGACCTATTCTACCAGGAGGACCAGGAGGACCCTGTAAAAGCACACAATCAATATTATTACTAGTTATTATCACTAAATAGTGAGAAAGGGCATCACAAGTTTTACAAAACTCAAAGTGATGTATTAAAACAGTTTGACATGTCTGAAAAATCAGCAAACTCACTGGTAGACCAGGGACTCCATCCTGTCCAGGTGGTCCAGGGGGTCCAGGGGGTCCGAAAGCGACTGGGCCGTTGGGTCCCAGTGCCACTGAAACGCCAGGAGGGCCAGGAGGCCCTGGGGGGCCCGGAGCACCAAGGGCACCCTGATAACAAATCAAACAGTCAATACGTTGTGCAAAAAACTCAAAATCATGTTTAGTCTGAACGATCATCAACACACCGGGATTTTGTCCACATCTGCGAATCCTGAGCCCTCCATGTCGAAGAACGTCTATCAACACAAAGTAAAATACAGTGAAAAGTCTTGAAACTATAAAAAGTGAATGAAGAGGGTGTTTGAAGTGTGGACATACTGGGCGGTCACCGGTCCCAGGTCCAGGAGGTCCTGGTAGACCGGGGGGGCCTCTGGGTCCTGGCTGACCCTCTCCAGGCTCACCCTGGAAACATCACACATTATTACGCTAAATAAACCTGTTTTTCTATAATGTAATAACTGTGCGAGGATCAACACAATGCATCCATCTTATCCCACTACAACCTTCTGTCCGTTAGCGCCAGATGTTCCGGGACTTCCTGGTAAACCTGGTGGCCCAGCGGGACCCTGGGAACAGGAACAAAAACAACAGAATTACACTAATGTTTGAATTATCTAGAGAAGTCCATAACTAAATCTGTGCAATAAAAACAAAGACGCTTACAGCTTTCCCATCTTCTCCTGGATCACCCTAAAGGAGAAGCAACAGTCAGTGAGTGACATTAATATATTAAAACATTACATTTGTGACAAACAAGACTGTCTGTACTAACAGGTTCTCCATCATCTCCTGCGGGTCCTGCAGCCCCGCCTGACCCCGGTGGTCCAGGAGGTCCGGAGGGTCCAGACACCTGCTGCACAACAGAGCCATCCCCGAGTCGAACCACCTCAGCTGCAGGCCCGGGAGGACCAGGGAGCCCAGCAGGCCCCTGAGCCCCGCGGTCTCCTTTATTGCCGGAGTATCCGAAGCCTGAATTACCCTGGTGAGGAAGGAAAACAGGACTTTCAGAGAAAAATGTTCGCTAATGAAAACGTTGCGTCCCTCAGTGTGAACAGCGCTAACGTACCTTTGCACCTTTTTCTCCCTGAAATAAAGAAAAACAGACAAATGTTAAGTTGTGTGTGATTTGCAGCCGATTTGACATTTCATGCACACAGAGTGATGTTTCTACCTTCTGGCCTCCTTCTCCACCCTGAGAGGAGGAACCGGAGGAGCCAGAGCCGGACTCTCCCTTCGGCCCTGCGGGGCCCGTGTCCCCCGATAACCCTTTATCTCCACTGTCTCCTTTCTCACCTTTTGCACCGCCGGGACCTGAAGGACGCGTTAGGAAAGTCAGGAAGAACTTCAATACATCGTGCAGAGAGAACGCACGCTCGAAAGAAAAGCAAACACACACACGGACGCCACATGTTATGCACTGAAAGCATTATGAATTACTGGATGCCACAGGAAATGTGTTGATTAGAACTGGAACTTTGTGGATGACAACTTGACTACGGTCACATGTACTACCATGTGTAGGGATATGTCTCTAATATTAAGGATCATTTTTAATCCGACTGAGCACAAATCAGGTCAAACAATGAACCTCCTCACTACCACCACCAAAATGCAAAAGCACATATTCACATGAAAGAATAAAGAGTCAAATATCAATTATTACAATGCAAAAAAAACAAGTGTGAAATGAAAGAAAGTGTGATGGAGAAGATGTGTTTGCATTGTGGTTGTGACAGTTGACGGGTTTCTCTCTCTCAGTAGTCTGGCGCCACCTAGTGGACACAGTTAGCTCAGTGGAAGCTGTGAAGCCAGAGGGCACTACTGCACAACTCATAATCCTCCCTTTTGACTATTCTATTAATACCAAGAACATTTGCACATCTATATCTATATTTATTTATAAATAAATATCTATTATGTATTCTTGTAGATTCCGATGCTTCATAAAGATAGTTTAATGCAAAGGTTGTGGATACATTACCTGATTGAATAATGATGATTTATTCTATGAATTATTGATCGGTAGTGTTCATCTGTAATATTTCCTTTACATATATGGTAATGCTTTGTTGGATCCAATATCCGATGCTTTGTGACCAGCGGCGTGTTTGATGTGATAATTTGTCAAAAATCACACATTCATTTAGGAATGAGCAACATGTAAGCACAATATCTGCAATAATGAGGGTCTTAAAAGCAGACTTTGACTCAGTAATGTCAGTGGATGTCGTGCCTAAGCAGAACAAACTGTAGACTCTGACTGCAGAATATGTTGAATGAACCACAGATTGTAAAGAAGCCACATGTCAACCTCCACCAACATGCTCACAGCTCCACACACACGAGAAACCCCAGCAGCTGGAGACACACTGCTCATTCTATGCTGTGATAGGATGGCCACATGTTGATCAGGACATAATCCTAATCTGCACGACTCGATTCGTTTGCCCCCCCCCAGCGACCCACCTCTCGGGCCCGGTGATCCGGGCCGGCTGTTGTCCGCCGCCGGCCGCTGAAGCCTGACATCTAAAGTCAACACAAACACAACTTTACCGGCTGCACGGGGCCTGCAAGCTTGTAGAGCGGAGAATGTGTTGCCTCGTTAACGTCTGTCTGAGGTTTTTGAATGAGGTGAAGGACAAAGAAACTTGTAGCATGTGTTAATCTGCGTATGCGGGTTTCTAAAGTAGAGTTTAAAACCAAAAGTGAATTTCCTTTTCTCCTTAAAAGCAGCTTCTTCAGCACTTACGTGACGTTGTAAAACCAAAACTTCTTTAACTATCCACATGAGGGAGCTGCGGAGTTTCACGTGTCACCAGCACGTTGAAACCCTGCAGCAAAACTCCCCTCACTGTCAGGTCCAGACAAGCACCTTTTGCACGTATTTATGGATAAAAGCACAGTGAGTCTACAAGGATGCTTTGTTGGCAGTGGCTGCTGTGTGATTAAAAACTTCCATTACACATTTTTCTGCAGTATGACGGTCGACTTGGCAGCCACACACTGAAGATTTGCAGTCATAAGCGATTCCACTGATGGCGATGACGAGCGTTTACCTGTTTCTTTGAGTCTGGTTCTGTCTGAGGAGATCAGAGGGGGTTCAGGTACCGGCCGGAAGGAAGCAGGTGTGGTCTGGAAACACAATGCAGTAGTTTAATTAAAATGGCCGAACAGCAGAAATCCCCAAACTTTAATGCCTCATTATCAGAAGTTTAACAGAAGCCACAAATAGCTTTATATTAAACATATTTGTTCACCATCTGAAACAGTATTTAAAAACACAAACGCTGTCTTCACACATACAACTTTTTAATGCAAGTGGTTTTAATTCCCCTGAACCTCGAGTTCTGCAAGTAACACAAAACAAAAGTTGCATGCAACATTCTTTTACAGTGTTTAAACATTTCGCACCAGGCTAAAATAATCCTCATCACTGGTTCTTGGAGCACAGTTTGATGATTGATTTGTTGATGCAGGTTATCTGGAATAACAGAGCGCTCTTATTTTGAAACAAGTGCTGATCATGTGATTATAATTACATGAGGTAGTTGTGTTAGAAATCCTCCCAGCATGCACTGGGGCGATATATTAATGGACGTAAATCTCATGTTATGCAAGTTTCGTGGATTATTAGAAAGTTTATGGTGTTTTTAATCTGTGACAAAAGCTGCAAACATTTGCAACTTTCCTCAACAGCACATCAACCAGTTAATTAGATTTAAACAAAGATAATTTAGCTTTCCACTGTGCTGCTGTAACACCGCAACATGCTAACTTCGATATTCATTCATGCACTTTCATTTTAAATAGTGAAAGAAATGAAAAGACAAACCTTCACCGAGTGTCCCGTCTGTCTCCGGTCTCCTTCACCGCTGCCAAAGTCTCCAGAGGCCTACGAGACAGAGAGAGAAAAGATGTTTCACACAAAAGCAGTTTCAATGAAATATTCAAAAAAACCGAAATACTCACAGTGTCAGAGTCGTCCTCATCGTCACACAAACGCTCAGCGGCCCGATGGTTTCCCACCACCTTCAGATCTGCAATCTCCCCCTGAAAACACACACACACACACACACACTCACATTGTTTGTGATTGGTCATGACATTAGCTTCCTCTGAAATCTCCAAAGTGATGGAAAGAAAAAATGAGAAATGACTCAGAGCAGAATAATGTGTCAGCTGCTTTAAACACGGTCTTATTCTGGCTCTTTAACACGACGCAGACTTTTGGAGTCACGGTTGACTTTATGTCACGTGACAGCATCCTGCCCTAGAGACCGGTTTGTCTTCTTAAAATGCATTTTTTTTGCATTGATTTTGATTGATTGCCTGGACGCCTCCCACTGGAGGTTTTTCAGGCACGTCCAACTGGGAAGAGACCCCGGGGAAGACCCAGAACACGCTGGAGGGATTACATCGCCCAGCTGGCCTGGGAACGCCTCGGGATCCCCCAGAATGAGCTGGAACATGTTGCCGGTGAGAGGGAGGTCTGGGTCAGCCTGCTTGACCTGTTGCCACCGTGACCCGACCCCGGATAAGCGGAGGAGAATGGATGGATGGATGGATGCATTGATTTTGGCCCAGAGATGCAAAGGTTGCTGCAAAGATGCAGTTTGGACATATCAATTTCATCTCCACTTCAAAGGCCATGTGACCGTCAGCTGGGTCACTGACTGGGTGCAGCTGAGAGGTCAGAGGCCAAAAAGGTGAGAGGGGTCAAGTAACAGATTTACAAGAAGGAGCAGGGTTAAGTCTGCCTGTTGCCTGGTGCGCCCCAGACCTGCTATGAGGAGCCACAGGGAGATATTAAAGAGGGATCTGACCCGACGAAGAGGTCACACTTCCACATACAAACACCCTCACACACCTGCTCTTTTAGCACACAGTGAATTACTCTGACTTCTCCAGCTCCCGTGGGTGACATTTGGAGGATTCATGGCTGGTTTTTCATTCATTTCTGTCACGAATGTGATGAGCAAACATCTCTTCAGCACTTGAGCATTTCCTCTGCTGGTACCCTGGAGTTTATAGTCAGAAGATGAGACTTCTCCAAATGCTAAAGTGTAGATTTTATAGTCTGTAAAAGTGATCATTTTGTTACAAATATTTGTTGCTTCAGCTATATAATGTACTCTAATGTTGTGCATCTACTTTATAGAAAAGTATGTTATTTTTCCTTGTTTTCAGAGTTGAATATGTTCCTGTTCTTTATTTTAAGTTAAATGATTGTGCAGCTGTCTTTTGTCCAAATTTGGAAGACCCAACGGGTGTAACCTCATCAGCTCATACCATAAATGTGTGACACAAATCCTCTCGTTTGTACCTTCATTTGGGATTCAATATATTACCTGGAACTTGTCATCGTCGGCTCCTCCTGCCTGACCCACAAAGATCCCCGCCCCGCCGTCGAGCTCCATGGGATCCGGCGAACGCTCAAATTTCACCACCTGTGGCTCAGAGTCGCAGTCCTGGTAGAAAGTCACCTGCTCCTCAAAGACAGACAGCGAGAAGCGGCTCCAGGTGTCCACCAGGCTCGGCACGTCAAAGCTGGCGGCCTCGTACGAAGCCTCGGAGTCGGGCTCGGTGTAGAAGAACTGCACCCTCTGACGGCCGGACTGCACCGCACTGAGCTTGACGGCGATGTACATGATCCTCTGTGGCCCGTCGGTGATGGAGAAGAGCACGGAGGCGGAGGGAGTGGAGGGCTTGATGTGGAAGAGGAGGGAGAAGTGGCGGTGGAAAGGGTTGGGGACGTGGGTCAGAGCCGGCTGGCCCGACACCGCCGCTGAGGTGAAGACGTAGGCGATCTCCCCCCTCGGCCCGTATGCCTTGGTGATCTCATCTGGTGGAGGGTCTCCGATTAGCTGGAGCAAAGAGATGCCGCTCTCCTCTGCAGGAAGCAAAGAGACAGGAAATTAAGTAGCAGAAAGTCGAAAGACATACTTTGAAAAAAGTTAGACAAGAACTGCCTTCAAATGCAGTCCTTTAACTGAGCCTGAATGAACAAAATCACATTTTGATGACAAACATCTATGTGAAGACATTGTAGGATTCCAGGAGATATAATACGTCTTTTAAAGACGTTTCTCCTGCTTTAGGGATCTTTGTGACACAATACAGGTTAGGATGTGTTAAAACTTTCACTGCAGGAAGTGCAACACGTTAGGAAACGGCTTTAAATGAGTCACCGACTCAACTGATCCAGGACGAGCTCCTCTGGAGCAACAAACCCATCAACTCTTTCGGTTAAACTGCAAACCACAGATCAGTGGTCGCTGTGCACTGGCTTGACTGACTAGATGGTTTAACTAATGCTGGATTGAACTTTCTACTTTTATGCCACAGTGAGAATTAATGGAAAGAAACTGCTGATGTTTCAGTTCCCATAGATTCAAACAGCCCAAGAGACCAACAGATAAATCAGCATCACAGGGGAGGAAAGCATTTTGGACGGCGGACACTTCTCTTGAGGACGGCCTGTCATCACATATTCATGAGAGGAGACGACCAAAAAAAGTACAATGTGTGCATTAAAAGGGGTCACGGGGGTCAGAGGTCGTGGGGGTTTCCCAAGGTTTAATAATGATGTGAAAGTATTACATGCAGCTAAGTTTAGCGTTCAGTCAAAGAACGTAGAGGAAGCTGTATCTCTGACAAAGACCAGCTGCCTGCAAAATGAGAAAATCATAATGTCGGGGGACACTTTCAGTCATGCATGAAACACAGGACGCACAGATTATGTGGCTAAACTTGGCAGAAAATGAGAATTAGAAGCTTAACTTAACTTCATTGATTTTGAAAAACTGTTGCAGCTTAATTTCCTGTTTCAGCCTAAAAGTGAGACAAAAAAATAGAAAAAGAAACATCACGTTCTTCTAATTTCACTCTTACATTTGCTTTAAAAGTTTCTAATTGGTGTCGACAGGATAAAGCGTTTTGGCTGTTTCTGTTTTTGCACACCTTTAAACTTGCTGAGAGTAAAGTCACATTATTCCGACCAACACTCCACATCTCATAACTGCACATCTGCACTCGCCCACTTAAAATCCTGAACACTTGTTCTCACAAACACGTGTTGCATGAATAGCGGTGTTATGTGGTGTCGAGCTAAACCGGGATTATGTGGGATTTCATCCAATTGGAGGACACGCTGGGTGGTCAACTTCCCACTGAGGGCACCTGCTATTGGTCCATCTCAGTGACACAGCTGCTGCAGCTGTTGCATAAAATCAGGTGGTCAAATTATGTAGAATATATATTTTTTAATCTCAAGAAGGAAACTTCCTCATCTGCAGCAGCATTGTAACTTAATATCCTGTTTCACTTCACACTTCATACGTACACTCTCACATCTGGAACTGTCCAGTCCAACCGCAGCTCTCCCATTAAACAGGCCAGTTATGGCTCCCATGAACAAGAACAATGTCTGCAAACTATTCCGTCATGCCAGCTACACACTTTTCTAATTTCCGTATCAGAGTTGCAATCTCAGTCTCAGGCTCTGAATGTATTTACATCTTTCCTGGGAACCAAAATGCAACACAAGCAATATGACTAACAAGGAACGATTTATGCTTTTCAGGCTATTTTTCTGGATAATTTCAACCATTTAGACCCATAAATAATATTCCATTTAGTTCAGCAGTTAATGCCACAGAACATATTTTATATTGGAGTAATGTGTGTGTGTTAAATACCATTAAACTTCAAGTCAGTGACACCCAAACATGTGAGCTTTGCCTCTGACACAGTTAACCCTGCTTCTGTCTGCTAGCTTCTTCATGCTAACAGGGCCCTTTGTGTGGAGGAGCAACATGCATAAAACATGACCTCATGTATTCTGTTACTTAAGTGCCATGTCTGTTTTGTTACAACATGTAACCCCAGAGTTTCACCGTGTGAAGAAATAAAAGATGCTGCCAGTGAAGAGAGGCTCAGACAGACAGATGGAGAGGAAATGCATGTCAGATGTCCATGGGAAAGTGGACCACGAGGGATTCTACGAGGAAGCATAGACCGAATCCGTCCCAAAAGCCTGCACACAACATGTCGGTTAAAACAGGCTCCTCCAGAAGTTTAGGAGTGTAAAGTGCCTCCTCAGGGGGAAGAGAAACAGCTTCCCTGGAGGCCAAGAAACAAAGAGAAGAGGCTCAAATAATCATTTTTAAATCTGCAGTAGACCAGACTTTGCATCTCTTTTAATTAGCCCAAACTAACTTAAATGTATCTGAAAATCTGATCAAACTCCGTGAAACAAACCTGATGAAATATAATTCCATCCAGACAGCAATAAAACAAAGCTGAGAGCAGACTGGATAGACACACATTTTTATGATTTAGGTGCATACCATCTCACAATACAACACACGTGTCAGATAACTTGCTTAATAACAACAGAAAAAGTACTGGATTGCTATCGGTATCACTGCTGCAGTATTGGTGTTTTTGGAGTCGGACTTCAAGGCACATTGCAAAGTAAAATGACCGAATGTACAAAATGAAAACCCTCTCATTCCTCGTCTATAATTACACAAAAACATTGCATGCAAAAGGTTAAAGAACATTACTCCATTATCAAATCATCCCTCACAGAGCGTTTTACTTCTACCTCCATCTGAAAGCTGCAGTCCTTATTTGGAAAAGTAAGCACTGCAGTAGAAAGATAATTTAATTACACTACGAGGAATCTGAGATATTTATTCAGTTCACTGCTTCTCGATCTAAACACCTCAGTGTCTCTTTCAGACAACAAACATGCCGGTTAAACTGGTGGATTCGACCATTAACACCCACAGCTGCAGGTCTACCCTCTTGGAACCGAACCAACTGGACTTCACACACGTGAACAGCAGAGTGGCATCGGTTAACACTTCAAACGGAGGCGAGGCAGCTGTGACATCTACAGGAGGACCTTAATCCATGTTTGAATACACAGAGCCGAGAGCGAATTAAAGCCGACTGATGGGGATCGGTGAGGAGTTCAGATCGAGCTTTACTTAAGATTTTAAAAAGTCTGGTTTCTAGGCAATTTAAATATTCTCATGCCGCTGTTTTGAGTCTTGAAAGGCTTTTAGTCTCGAAGCCTAAACTTCTCTTTTACAGCAACAGAAGACATTTTACAACAGTCTTACAAGCCGAGTCCTCATGACTAATAGACTTACTTTTGTAGTTAAAATTGGTACGTTTTCCACATTTGTTGCTGTGGCTGCAGGAGCAACAACCAGCTCTCCACTAATTGGAACACTGCAAATTTCAGGCAAACAGGAAGGACTCCGATCAATGCTGTATAATTGAAAATTGGCCCAACGTGCGGTTTAAATCGATTGAAGTGTTTTTGAAGAACTGACTGTGAACCACTTTTCTTATAGAGCGGGTAATTCCCGCTTGTATAAAAGTCTCCGGCCCACTTTGTCCCACTCTGTCTCTGCTCATCTTCCAATGGTCGAGCGAACACTTAGTTACCACCCATCAAATGTTACTGGTTTGAGAGCGTAGGCGACTGGCCGTGCCCTCTGACCTCTGGCAGAGACGCCACCGAGTCTCATCCCAGTCACAAGGCTCTCTCTTGTTATTTTCCACGACGCCGTTGCCCTGTCTCCCAAACCGAGCACACAATCGTCACACTCTTTCCTCTGGTGCAGACCGTTTTCCCACCCACAGCCGCTATCATGAATGCCATCCTCCACACCACAGATGGCCCAATTGTTTCCCTCTCTGTGACTCTAGGAGACGCGACAGCATTCGCCCCTAAATCCACACAGAACTCCTCGCCAGCTGATCAGAAATATGATGAAGTAGATAACCCGGGACTGGCATGCAGGAGTAGGATGTGACAGGAGCAATGGAATGATTATTGTTCGACCAGACTGCTGCATGTAGGAAACCACAAACCAAGAGAATAGAGCATAAAGACTAATACATCTGTCTTGTATCCCTGATAAAACATAATGTCAAAAACCAAGTGAAAGAAGTCACTGCTGTTACAGTCAATTGTAATTCAGAGAATAACTAAATTCTCCCCCACATAAAGGACTGTAGATGCAGGAGTAAAACACTTAACACACGTATCTGTGTTTAACAGCACGGTTTATGTCCGACTTCAAAGGTTATCCAAACAAGAACCCTGCTTGTGGAAAATTACAAAACTATCTGCCACTTGAACCCAGAATATTTACATTAAACGTTCCTGTGGGGAAAACACATGACAAAGATGTTTTTTAAAGTTAATGAAGTCTATGAGGCACAATTTATGGCGCCACCGAAAGACTGGACATGTGCCACTGGAGCATTTCCTGTCTTAAGGGTTTCAGGGGAAAGGCTTCTGTTTATGTATTTTCTAGGCTTATCTTAATATAAATGAACTGGGAAAGCTTTGACTCAATGCAGAAAGTCATTCGAAGTGGATTTATGCAGCCTGAATGGACATAATCAGATAATAAGTTGCATTTGAGCTAGTTTGGTCTTCAATATAACTTAAATAAAAGGCTACAAAGAACCTGTAACGTTGCGGTCCATTGCTGACGCATGCAGCCTGGGACAGTGACGTGATGTGCTAAACGACGTCCTCTGGACGTGTGCAGTGGACAGAAAGCAACAGTGTCAACAACGACTGCTGGTTTTGCATGTTTTAACACATTAATTGCAGATTATTTATACTTTTCATTATTGGCAACCATTTTCCACCTTCTAGGCATCATTTAGTTTCACTGCACGAGTTGAAGATTCAACGTGCAGAGACTTGAAAGATGCCTCAGTTGGAGCATCCATCCCCGTAAACATGTCAAATCAATCGGCACCTACAAATGCAACAAAAATGTAACTGACAACAATGGAAGCAGACACGATGTTTACTGTGATGGCTTAAAAGGGAACTCAACCAGACGGAGTTGGTTGGGACAGCAATTTAGATAATAACAATAAGCATCTGTGGGTGTGGCGTTAAAAAGATGCGAGCCTATCAGACCTCTGCAGCCTGCTGCTCATCTCTGCATAAGGCTCCGGGCTACATTAGCTGCTACTAGCAGAACACACCTGAATCTCCCAGTGAGGGTAATGTAGGTGCCAGGTTCTGACCTGGAAGAATAATGTGTGAATTAAATATACAGATAATAAAGATTTGGTCCTTTCCGTGAGCTCCTAACTCAAGTCCCTGCAGGTTGAATAAATGTGCAAAAGGTTGCTTAAAAATGTGCAATTCAAACATTTTTAACACTAAACGTGGTTTGAAAAATGGTCAGCTGTGATTAAAACATGCAAAATTATGTTTGAAGTGAATCACGAGAGCCACAATGTGCTTACGTGTTACCAAAACAAAACACACACAGAGACTGAAATGCTCAAACATGACATCGGATTCAAAATGTATCACCAGACAGGATACATTCTAACCCGCCGGGGTTACCTTTCATTTTACTAACTGACGCGCACGCTCTCTCGGGCAGCAGGTGGCACTCCACCGGGAGACGGCCGTTCTCCAGAGACGCCCAGCAGCTGTCCTGCAGCACCTGGCAGAAGCTGCGACAGGGCAGGTAAATGGGCGCCGGGCACCTGGGCGCCAGCAGGAGGCAGAGGAACCACTCTGCGCTGTGGTGACACCTCGCCCTCGTGAGCCACGCCCACTCCTGTAGGACCGCGCCCACCTCCTCCACAGATGTGTGGTTGAAAAAGTTGGGCAGCGTGAAAAATTTGGGGCGTTTACCGGAGCAAATGGGCCAATCAGAGGGCACTGGGAGACAAGACTGGTCAGAAGCATTGATGCGACTATCGGGGGGGGTTAGGTCAACTATAATCCTGGTTAAATTAAGAGCCAGGACTTTATCACCTTCTACATCTGACCTAAGATCAGATCCTGACCCATCCTCTACCCCGATCCCAGACCCCTTTCCCACCCTCTCCACTCTGAACCGGTTTGCATTACCCGTCGTGTTACGGATAGCGCTCTCCACCTTCTCGGGCCGGCCTCCGTTAGTAGTCCTGGCGGTCGGGGTCGGGGTCGCGTCCCACGCCTCCACAAACTTACGGATTCCTGTCGCCACGTTGATAATTTCTTCCCCAACCCCAGATAAGTTGTCATCCTCCTCTTCTTCCTTCGTCAGCGTGCCATTGGCTGTCGTGTTGGCACCCGTGGTTCCTGCTGGCATTGTCAGCACTGGAACCTGGGTGGTGTCCTCTCGAACTGGGGACCAGAACCAGGCATCCAAGCTCCCAGCACAGAGAACCAGGAGAGGCAACAACGTCTGCATCCTCAACATGCTGCTGGCTCCTGCAGAAGTCCTCCAAGTGTCTCAGCGTGCAGCAGCACTCCAGTCCACACAGTCCTCTCACTGTTTCCTCAAGCGCCACCTGCTAGCCAGCCGGTCAACAGTTAAATCCAAGCTGTTTAAGAGGCCACTTAGCGTCCACTGAATGAAAACCAAGACATCAAATCTCTGCTCACTCTCAGAGACCCTCCCACGAAATGCAAACCTCATGAGAAAGCACTTACATGGGCAGGGGGAGACCCAAAGCGTGGAGGCAGGCTTGCTTCACCGCTGATGGAAGTCATTGGTTACTCAAAAGTTGCCCCAACTCACTAAAACTCCTCCTCTGTGCGAGTTGATGAGTGGGTCCCCTAAGACCTTCTCTGCAGCACGGAGAAAAAGCATGCAAGCGTTCGTGCTACCACAACGACACACCCGTTCCTGCACAGAAATAACCTCAGGGAATTATGGAGTTTTTAAATATACATAAGCCATAATGGACAGGTTTAGTTCACATTGTGCCAAGCGTATCGACAAGGGCATCAAGTTTAGAAGCAAAATGCTGAACTGCAGCCTCCTCAGTCATCCGCAAGTATTTAGGAAACAGTCGGTTTACAGTAAAGTTTGCCCAACATATTCCATTTAAAAAGGGGCAACAGAGAGGATAGATTTCATCGGTGAGGTTTGCAGAAAATGAGAATAAATGCAAATAAAAGTAATAATAATCAAAGTGAGAGTAGAGCTGTGGTTCCCTACATGGAGGGTTAATCTAAACGGGGCACCAGGGGAAGAAATACTCGTGATTATGAGTATTATCTGGATTCTCTCTCGTCTTTGCATGTCCCTTGTGGAATACTTCACACTAAAATTCACCCGAGACGAGGGTTATCAAGTGCACGTGGCACACAAGACAAAAATTGAATAGTGCACACTGCTGCTGACAGCTTAAGATAACACAGAGAGCTAAAGTTGAGAAGAGAAATTTTGGGAACAAACGTGGTGTTCAGTAACACAATACTGGCATGTCTGTCTGATTTACTGGCTTGGAGGGGGGAACTAAAACAGGCACAAGTGATATTGTGTGTGACAGAACTAAACACTCTGGTGTATTCTGATATCGCTGGGTGGAAAGAGAGCAGAGCAGCAGGAGAGTGAGGCATGAATGAAAGACGGCAGCTGAGAAAGTGAGGGCGTATCCGATTGGATCGATGTCTTAAGCTCCTCTCCCGGGGGACCGGCTCCATTGCCTCATCGGAGAAAATCCTCGGAAAATGCAGCACTTCCAAGTTCTCACAGATGGGCGATACGGGGGGATCCCCCCCACCTACACACCCTTTTTCTCCCAGGCCTCCTCCTCCTCCACACAGCCCTGTGTGCCCCCATCATCCAGCTACCCACCTCATCTGCCAAGCTAGGACATCCAGCTGTTACACATTCCAGCCCTCAGACCTCCCACGCCCCCACGCTGCATGACATGTCGAGCTTTTGGACACTGTTGCATCTTGATAATTTGTGCATCGCGGATAGTGCTGTCAGCATATGTGCTAATTCTGCAGGACACTGAGCAGGATAAGAGGAGCAAAGTTTCAGATTGGATGCTTTGGGGAGTGTGTGAAAGCCAGCTGTCCCTGAAGTCTAAATGCTAAATAATGAGGGGATCAGCTTTCCTTCAAAGCCTCTTAACAGGTTGATCAAGTGAATCTTGACTTGTTAAACCTTTTAAAAAGGATGCTTCACACTGTACGCACCAGCAAGCACGGAAAACAATCAACAGAAGAGCTCATGTGTCTCAGTCTTGGAGTAATTACCAAAAGCAATTACAGAGAGTGTGTTTGAGGAGAAACTAGACTTCCTGTCTACTTTGTGTTCCTTTCTTTGTTGATTGTGCCATGAGATTTATTTAATTTCTTCACCACAGCAGGAGAGTAAAAAGCATCACATTCATCACAAGCATGAGAGATTATATTACCTTTATTTATTATTATATTTTTGACGTGAAAAAGCATTGTTCTTGTAACCGGAGAGAGAACAAACAAGTTAAACCTTGCTTGCTGTAGACATATGGACTTTAAAACACATTTCCGTGATATGTTCATGTTCAACAAACTAGTCAATAAATCGCCACAAATGCCCTGCAGACTCTCCCACCGCACGTTATCCCTCCCTCTGTGTGCAACACTATCATCGCTATCAGCTGTCAGCTGCTCTGACCTGCACAGGGCCACTGGTAGGGCAAGTAAACACCACGGCTTCAGCGAGTTAGTGAATGTCAGTTTATGAAGGCACCTGGTGCTTTCCATTTGGAGTAGTACACTCACTCACACATGCATATGCATGCAGAGCTATATACGCGATACGGTCCAGTGCTACAGCTGCACATTACTGCTCCAGTGGGACGGTTCTGTCCACTCCTTCAACAGTTATATAGCATCATTCTAAGCTTTTTCCCCCATCAATCCTCTGTTTGCGTGACAGTTAGTGAGTCCTTAAACATCCCAGAATGCCTTGCAGCAACCCCTAGAAAAACATGCTGATTCCTTCAATCGGAATGATGTTCTGCGCTACGTATTAAAATGATAATGTCCTGAAAATATTGAACCAACAGAGATGCTGGAAGGCAGATTTTGTACAGAGCCAGGCTAGCTGTTACCCCCTGCTTCCAGTCAGCCTGCTTTTTATCCGTTGTAAAGACATGAGAGTTGTATTAAATTCACTAAAGAACACTTATCAGCAATGGCCTTCCCCTTTCCTCCTACTAGCGCATAAGTGTCCACATACTTGTAGCCATGCAGGCTAGAAAGAACGGGTACTTTGTCATCGAGCACTGAAAGACATTTGTCTCAGAGAGAGGAGGTTAAAGGAATGAGGGGGTGTATAAATTGCAGCTGTGCTAAATTACCAGAGTGTCTAAATATCCCAAACCTCAACTAATCTTCATGACAACCAGATTCCCCCCGGTGCTGTAGGACTGTTCTAGGACTCATGAGTGTTTAACTTCCTTAGACCTGCAGAAACATCCCTCTGCATTCTGTTTTAATTGATTAAAAATCTCCATATTTGGGGATTAAGTTTCTGTCCGACACTGTGAGGAGGCGGTGCATAGAGTTCATAGTCTGTCTCCACGATGTAATCATGGTGATTGGTTGCATTTCTGTCTTTACAACTTGTTGCACAGACCACCAATTTAAAGGTCAACATACTTTTAGAGGCGTTCATCATTGAGGCGTTGAGTCATGAAGCCTCTCTCACTCTGCTTCTCGTCTACAACCCTTTATCTCATAAAGAGACCGATGCAGGATGATGGCAGCACATGTTTCTGCTGGTGTTTTTCTTCGTCTCACTGTGTTATTAACTGCTGTATCATGTTTCTACCACAGTTCTCATGCTCGGATGTATGTTAACCAGAAAACACTGGTGAGGAGGCACACATGCTCAAGAGCTCAAGAATTAGCTCATGCTTTCTGGAACTTTCAAAGTTAAATATTGAGCTCATGAAATAGTGTATGAATCCTGAAACAAATGCAAAACTATAGATATTAACAAATTGAGGACTTCCATGGACCAGCAGGTGGCAGCAGCACACAGGTCAATCATCGTATTTCATTCTTACGTAAGGTTATATAAGAGGGCTGAAGGTTTTTGTATCACTGTTTGCAGAAACTCCAGTTTTGGTCATTGTGTTTATGCTCTTAATAATTGCATCTTTTACCAGAAGCACTTTCTGACCTGCGCTCATTACGTATTATACTGTAAACTACAGTGTTTTCTTGCAACTGGAAGATGCATACAGACAAAATCTTAGACTGACAGAATGTGGTTGAAAATCTGCTTTGCAAACTCCAAACTACTGTATTTCTTGTTTCCTGCACAGAGGAAATGCTGCCACCTGTTGTATAAAGTCTGGAGTAGCACAGAGACGAACTGATGCGTCTCTTTGCACCAAATCTGGACCAATATTTGTGTAACTTGGTTTAAATATCGCGTGAACAAACCTAGAAACTTCTTCATCACGGCAGTAAGTCACCGACACTCCTCACTGATTTCTCTCTGTGCTTTACAGTTATCAAATAACTCAAATTCTTCAAACTAAAGAAGCAAACAAGTCCCCATCTGGGCAGAAGCGCAGCAGAAATCAACACCCATAACACTCCCCCCCTCCTCCCCCCGATCCGTACACCCTGCGGTATGTCGAAGTGGGTTTTTGGCACAGACAAAAGCATTTTCAGACGAGAGGGTGTGAGACGGTCCCCCTTATCGCGCCTCAGTGCACGATTCATTAAGCAACACGGGAGCTCGAAGACAAGACAGTCAACTCCTTGTGTGAGAATCTCAGTCTGTTGAATGAGGACCTTTGTTGTATAGGAGGAATAATGGGAGGTGAGTGTGGTGGCTCCTTCTGAATGTGAGGAGGAAACAAATTCAGATGTTTTGTTCCAGAGAGGAGATGAACACCAGAGTGATCGACAGCAGACAATTAAAAGCAATTACGGAGTGTTTAACGTGATAAAAAAAAGGTCATTTTAGCTCCGTGTTGACGTAAATTAAGGTTGTTCAGCTGTCAGAGGTACATTTTTGCAGCATGAGCCTGAAGAGACGTGACAGTCAGGGCCCTCGTAACTTGAGGCCTCAGTGCTGCAGGTGAGTTCAAATTCCTGCAGCTCAGATACTGTACTCGAGGGCAAGTGTGCTCATAACCCCACAGACGATGGAAAGATCCTATCGAGTCTGATGCATGACTTTAAACGGTCATAGCTGAAGAAATGTTTCACATACTTATTTTTAGTCAAAGTAAACTTTGAGAGGTATTTTATTTGATGCACTCTGGTGGAGACTTTAATCCAAACCAGACAAGTTTGTTTGTGCATTCTTAGCATCTGTAAGCGTGAGACAGGCGTTTTTATTCCTTTCTTTTAAGACTATTTTGGGGCATTTTGCCTGCATTAGATAGTAAAAGGTATACATGGGTGGATGATGAGAAAATGGGCCCCTGGTCACTGACATGCTAAAAGTCCCACCACCTCTCCCACAGGAGCGAGACACACAGCTTTTTTTTGGGGGTTGTTTTGTGTCTTTTGTGGTCATTTTGTGTGTTTTTTGCCATTCTTTTAAAGTCTCTTTGTGGTTGTTTTGTATTTCCTTGTGGTAATTTTGACAAATTCATCCATTAAAGTATAGTGTAGAAACAAGTTGCA